TTTTTTATTGCTAGTGGGGTGGGACTAAGTCCCTTGTACTGCGGCAACTTATGGCCTATTGTACTAGCACCAGATGATAGGTGAGGGTGACTGTGGAGCAACTGGTGGAATGAAGATTGGCAGGGGAAACTGAAGTATTAGGAGAAAACCTGCCCCACCGCCACTTTGTCCACCACAAATCCCACTTGACCAGACCTGGGATAGAACCCGGGCCGCTGCGATGGGAAGCCAGCGACTAACTGCTTGAGTTATGGCGCGGCCATTGACAATATATACTCCCAATACTAATAAGGTTGTTAAATACCCAAGTTAAAAAAGCAGCAAAAAAATGTATTTTGTAGGTACCTGGTTTAAATTTGAACACCAACAATCCTGACTTAGGCATTCCATGATTTTTTTCAGCCCTTTCACACAAATGCTGGCATAGTATCCTAACTTAGGCCATAACAACTTCTTTCAACGTCCTTTAATACTCATTCATCTCCACTAATATCCAACCATTTGACACTACATAATTTGTGTTATCAATAGCATTGTTAAATAAACTACAAATACATAAATATACAAAATTGGCATGGCATATATAATGGAATACTGGATGAAGTCCAAGAAACATCACAGAAATTATAAATGATCATCTGAATTCAGGATCTTTCATTTGTTCCAAGATTCTTTAAATCATAATTTGTCTGCATCATGGGGGATCATTCAGTGACATCCGTGTTAAACAGTTCAACCTCAACCATTCCTTTAGGAAGACAGACCTAAGTCCAATACTGCCATCCACAACTACTATCCACTAAACCACTTCATACAATAACCAGTGGACAGCTATATTCTGAGGGAAACTGTGATATGTCATCAGGTACTCTTGGTGCTAGCCCTTATCCCTATGAGAGAACACTTAACAAAGGGGTCGAACATATGGGAATCTATGGCAGGTTAAATTCTTGGGTTATTTACACTTCAGCTTCTGTTCAATTATTACTAGAGTTCTTTCTTTGTATTAGGTTAGGTTCTTGAGTTACCCACATTTTAGTTTCTGTACAATTTATATTTAACCTCTTATCCAGTGGGTACCTGGGGCTCTTTCCCTGGGAGTAAAGTTGCCTGGGTGTGAAGCGGACCACTCACCTCTACCAGTGCTGTGGTCAAAAAAACGGGGGTCTATACATTCAGCTTAATTTGTTAAGTACATGGACAACTTCATCTTTACCTTTACCTTTTCATATTTATTTTCTAGTACTACTTACCTGCACTGCCACCTGTGTCATACTGTACAAATTATTTGGATATGTTGGTTCGCTGATAACTGTGGTTATCATTTTCCAGGGCTGTTCCAAAAACAGAAATAAATGAAGGCCTGCTGAGGGTGCATGGAAGAAGTACTGCATGTGTACAAGTTTATTGTTGCTTGCGATTTTAAATGGCAGCCTACCAAAACTAAATATTTCAAAGATCTACTCCTTCTGATAGTCAGATCACTTAAATTTAAGATAAGCTACACTTCACACTATCTTGTCTTGTGGGGTAAATGGCGCCATAGGAACATTCCATAGCAATCCCGTTATGTAACCAAAACGGCCTATTCCCCCACAAAGCTTCCTGCAAAAATTATCCTAATATAATAAATTGTAAGACCGTGTATGGCTCTTCCCGAACATCAAAACCGGAAAGTACCTGCATGCCGTCTTACATTCAGGTAAGGTTATGTTAGAAACATACCCCTACCTGTACACTGCTAAGCAAGTTGTTGGGTGGTTATACAGTCTATCCAAAATTTCAGTTGGAAGAGTTGTCAAGTAATCATGCAAGTTTTTACACTGTAAGTTCTTTGACTGGAGAGTTGTTTTAATTCCTTTGCTTGCTTCTGCCATGGATATAAAACCACTTGCGAATCAACCATACATTTATCTTCGTGTAACATTGAACACAAAATGCACCATTACCACAAAACAATCGGAACCACGGATTACTTATAGATCACAATGGCAACAGCAACAAGTATTGTCAATGCTAAATGCTCGTCTGTACCATAGATTAGTGCAACTGACTACAACCACGGCTACACTCCAACAATCAATTATTACACGGTACTACAAATACGCAACTCAGGAATATCGATGACACATTGTTTCAAGCTGCCACTTACATATCAAGGAGAAACAGCAAGAACTGGCATTCAGCCAGTAATAACGCGAAATTACCATTGTATTAGAATTAAATGTCGACGTATCTTACATCACTGTGGAGCCTGGGGTTCAATCCTGGGTAGTTCACGTGAGCTTGATCAGCATGATATTCTCATAATTTCTTCTGTGTACCTTTTTTTTATCTGAATCGAGGGTATCTCTTTGTTACAGATACAACACATTATGTCCTATCCGTCCTATCCTCACTTGCTGGGGAACAGTTCCCAGTCTAGTAGTTCCAGACAAAGTCCAAAATTCTGAGTGTTATACACCATCATCAGAAACCTGTAGAATCTACTAATACTGAAGAGGTTCTGGGGTGTACATCCATGTAGTCTGGTAGGGGTTTAATGACATTTCGAAGGCAAATTCTGGATCCATCTTATGGTCAAACATAAGTAAAGCAACAAATCACGCTTCTTGCTGGTTTCTTGTGCAGTTTATTCTTTGACTCTGAAGGTACAGCCAGTACCTTCCTCAGAATCATTGGCACACTTCTGTCTTACCATGTGGTGTCACATCTCTTCATAGTCACCACTGTAAGAAGCTCAAATCCAGCATGGGGGTAATCTTATTTCTAATTCAAGGAATATGTTTATTTTAATTCTTTAATATAAAGTGAGGGAGATTTCACATCACAAATGCTGGTGGAGCATAGGAGAGCTTACAACTTTACAGAATCAGTTCTATACTTTACAATATTAACCACTAATGAATTTTCTTCTGAACATTCGATGGAAAAGTTTACAGTTCCAGTCTCTAGCTAGTTTCCACAGATCTTCCAATAAATTGCTATTATGAATTCTTACCCTTGAGTGATACTAAGAAATATGATTTCACTGAATATACACACTATATAACTTTTACCAGACAAAGGTCAACAGAAATACTAAGTGAAGCAAAGGTATCTCCGCCATTTATTGCTACAACATTCTGGTCTTGTTCTTAATTACAACTGATTATTTTCATTCCAGCATAACACATACACACAGTCAATTCTAAACTGTATCCTATAATGAGTTCTTTTTGAAGGGCCAAACTCCCTGACTCTCTTACCATCAGCCTCTTACAAAGAACCTTAGGTACCACCTGCTGAGTCTAGATTTGCCACTAATATGCTGTGCATTATAAATACAAACATCCATTAATTAAAGAAAATAAATTGTTTTTTAAAAACTCACAATCACAGCAGATACCCAACATGTCTTCCTTCTGCTCTTAAACAAACTTCAAGACTGGCTAGACTGAGTTCACTGACACCAATGGATGGAATTATTTTGTAACTGTTGTGCTTAAGCCAACCCATTGTGGGAATTATTTGAATGCACTTTATTTTTTATGTTTCCCCACAGATAAAAAACAGGGATTTAAGTCTGCGGACCTTGTAGGCCAGAATCTGCGACTTATTACTCTGTCCTCAAACACCTTCTTTAAAACATTACTGGAATAGTTAGCAGTGTGTGCTGGCGCACTGCCTTGCATAAAATAACCATATATCCTTTTCTTCTGCAGTGCTGTTAAGAAAGGGCTAGCAAATATCAGTGAAATTTCACTGTTATTAGTCAGTGAAAAAATACTGGTCCTACTACTGATGTAGCAATGATGGCACACCACACACCAATCTTCTGATCATGAAAGCGTACTTCAACAGTCTGTCTCACATTAACACTGCTTCATTACTTTTGTTCTGAGCATTGCTATACACATTCAGATGGAACCAAACCTCTTCAGTAAAAAGAGCAAGTTTTGGGTCATGAACACCATAAAAACTGGATACAAAAATGGGTTTCTTGAGCACATATTCTTTACCAGCTCATAAATTGATGAAGCTGGAATTTCGACACCAGGATACTTATGGCAAGACTTTCTTTTATGTGATTTATATGGTTTACTTTTTTCACTCAGATATCACATGGAAAAACATGGTGTTCAAGTGTCTATTTTACCAGATCAATTCAGTACTGTAAATGAGAATACAAAACATATATATATGAATGTATCACCAGAACATGAATGCAAAGGGATCTGATGAGTATTAGAGTCAGTCATTTGGAGCTGCAAGCATACCCATACATGGTAAAGAACAACAGAGACACTGCACAAGAATGCAACCCTGCTCTTGTTTGAAGTATGTTCAACTTACTACCTGCTTCAGGCCGGTTTCTTGCTCAGCTTATTCTTTGACTATGAAGATGAAGGGGACATGTTCCTCTGAAATATCAGTTAATTTTCAATGGACTGCACAGTGTTAAATCCTAGAAGACAGAACTTTCATAACCACTGCTTTAAGAACCTCAAATCCTGCATGTTCAGCTATCACTTACATGTTCTTTTTGCAGCCATGAAAGCTGGATTCAGCCCTTCATGAAAGACTCTGTATATAGTCCTACAGATGACTGTAGAACAAGATGCGAACTGTCAAAGTTACTGAACTTTCTAATCAGATATATTTTTAATTTTTCCACCTGCTTTCTTGCAAACACAAATTAAATTTTTGTTCACAAGAATTAATAGTATTTTTTTAATGCTAGTGGGGTGGGACTAAGTCCCTTGTACTGCAGCTACTTCTGGCCTATTGTACCAGCCCAAGATGATAGGTGATGGTGACTGTAGTGCAATTGATGGAATGAAGATTGGCAGGGGAAACCGAAGTACTCGGAGAAAACCTGCCCCAGCGCCACTTTGTCCACCACAAATCCCACTTGACCAGACCTGGGTCTGCCACAGTGGGAAGCCAGCAACTAACTGCTTGAGCTATGGCACAGCTTTAGAGTTAAGAGAATGAATGTGTAAGGGGTGGGCTTTCTTGACCCTTTCACTGCGACCACAGTGATCTATTGTGCCTTGAGTTAAGAATGACTAGTGCTTACACAAACATCAAACTAAATGCCTCACCATATAAAACACTGGTACGTATCATGAAAAATACATGCAATACCCACAAACGATGAAATAGACGAAAAAAAAAAATAATTTCTGGGTATGTGCTGAGATATACAGTGCAATAACTTTGCCATAGTAGATATGTATCTGCAATAAATGAACATCAGGGTCAATGATGTATGGCATTTGGAAGTATCATTTTTGTTTTGTATGTGATAGATTTTGAGTTACTACTATAAATTGTAACAAGTCTATAATATTTTTGGTGCAATACTATTGAAATAAAGAACTCAATGTGAAGGAAAATAAAACATTCACTTTCATTTTTAATCATTATAAACCTATATGTATTTCTTTATCTTCATATATATACATATATGAAGCCACAGTCACGCAGCTTAACAGTACACAGCATTCCCATATATATACTGTACAGATACAAAGGCAGCATGTTACGTATAAAAATGTAAATAAGAAATGATACTCTGCTGCAAGCCAGTCTTTACCAGCCACTGCCTTAACAACAATTTGTAATGGAATACACAGGAATCAGAGCACCTATGTAAATAATGGCCAAACAACCACAAATATATAACATTCTGAAATGTTTGTCTATATAGGAAATACTTTACAGTGAAACTAAAATGCATAATTTTATTACAAGTTTATAATTTATTACCTTTTGCCAAAGAAATCTACTGTATAAAAGTTCAAACTTTTTTTAGTTTCTGGCTCCCAAAAATTTGATTTAAGTTAGGTCTCGTTCATAACCTGAGTGTTTTAGCAAGCAGTATGAAAAGAATGATAAGTACTTGTATGGGAATTGGGAATCACATTGTGACCTATCTTGAGTTGTGTAAGTAAATTTAAGTTTTCATGAGCTGGGATAGTGCATTCAGTATAAGACTGGCTACAGGCTGGACGGTCAAAGGGTCGGAGTTCAAGTACCATTAGGGGCAAGATTTTTCTCCTTTCTATGTCATCCAGACAAGTTCTGGGGCCCACCCAGCCTCCTATCCAATGGGTACCGGAGGCCCTATCCCTGCGCGGTAAACTGACTGAAGCGTGAAGATGACCACTCACCTTCTGCTAGTGCCGAGGTCAAGAATAAATGGATCTAAACATCCATGCCCCCATACATCTTCATGGTGTGGTGCTTAATTAGTTAAGTATAGGGACAACTTTACCTTACTATAAGTAAATTTCCTGTGAATATATTTGAGTAAGTCAATACTGGCACACCATATTATATATTTAACAATGAATGGTTATGTTACAAAATCTATAAACAGATGGACAAGTCTATTATACTCCACTTTTTATGGTATTTGCAAGCAATATATGCAAATTTATTTCTGGGAGGAGGGTAGAAAGTATCTGATCATAATTTGGTTTATTCTGTCAAAGTTCTCTGAAGGGAAAGGAGTATCTGGTTATGTATTTGGTAAGACTGTATTTGAAAATGTGGCTGACTCTCTTGTTGTCAGAATATGTCAAAGGTGTCCACTTCTTTCTCCCATGACTATACAACATACTACATAAAAGCAGAACCACATTCTAAAACAAACTCTGTAAAGCAGTTACAGTATTTTCTTTCAAAGAACTGTTATTAGTCGCTACATTCTTATGGTGATTACCCACAGTATCACAAATGTTTCTTGTTTATATTCCACTCTGAACAGTCGGATGTTCATACCATACTGCACATAATATGCCTTACCAATTTCCATTCAGGTGTATCAAAATGGAATACCTGTATTGCCATTTCCATGCTGATACCTTTAATGATACACTTGGTACACTAAAACTATTCAATTAATTCACTTGTTCTGAGTCTCTTTGGTAAATTTAGCAAAAGCAAATACAAAGCTATGACCTTCTGTCTTGACAAGAATAATGCACAATGTCTCCATTAGGATAGCGAGCAAAAGCACTGGAACAAACAAAGAAATTCAGTCAGTGTACTTTACAAGGGTACAAAAACAAATAAAACCTGTTTCATAATTGAAACAGAAATTCATACATTCCATTAAGGTTAGGCTACAAGCATGTTTATTTTGGTATACATAAACAAACATTCAGCTCTCATGGTCACATTTTTCACTGTATTACTGTACAACTCCTTAATGACTACAAAAGTTTCATTTCAGCCAACTAAATTTAGTCTTTGTCTTGATATTAAGGACAGGTAATTTTCCTGTGTCCTACACTGTTCTAACAAAACTCAAATAATCCAAGATCTCAGCTGCAGTGATGTAAACATAGAACAAGTCTCTCATTATAAATATTTAGGGTCTGTAGTTAATTCAGATAATGCAAATGAACAGGAGATTAAGGAGAGGTTAGCAACTGGAAATAAAGCATATGCTACACATTTAACACTGTTTAAAAGTAAACTTATTTCTAAAACAGCCAAATTAAGATTACACTAGATGGTAATTCGACCAACAGTAACCTACACCTGTGAAACCTGGGCCCTTAAAGGAGCCATTAAACACAGACTTTTAGTCTTTGAAAGGAAAATTCTAAGAAAGATCTTTGGGCCATCAAGAAACTATGATGGCTCCTGGAGAATTAAAACAAATGATGAACTAAATAATCTAATAAAAGGAAGGAACATAGTTAACTTCTTCAAAGCCCAAAGAATAAGTTGGCTTGGACACATCTCAAGGATGGATGCTGGACGAACAGTTAAAAGAATATGTGACTGGCAGCCACATGCTATAAGAAAGAGAGGCTAACCTAAGATCAGATGGAAAGATGATGTAAGGGAACATCTAAAGGACTTAGAAATTTATAACTGGACAACTCGCACACAGGACAGAAGTAGTCAGAAGGAAATTGTTGAGCAAACCAAAGCATTCAAGAAATGAAGCTGTTGAGCCTTATGAAGAATAATAATTTTCCTGTGCCCTGGTTGTTTCTCTAAGATAATTCTCAAAACGCCTATCCTCAAACCACCAGTTTGGCCAAGCACAGGCATGCCATAGCCTTAATGGGATTAGGGTGGGGAAACTTCAATGCTATTAGTAGACATATGAGCATTGCTTCAGATGAGGTAACATTTTATTCTAGGTCACAAAGTTTGAGCTTCATGTTTGGCTATTCTGTAACAAATGATACCTAATCCTCATGGCCAGCGGGCCACACTGAGAATCAAATCAGATGATGGGTAATTAGTGAAGCATTTGAGTTTGTTTTGGCCAAAACATTGATTTTATGTACTTCACTCTAAAATTTTAATGTGCCAATGAAAAGAGGAAGGGCTTTCTCAAATATACCAGACACATTAATATGGACCCAAAAAGGAAACAATTTAAAATGAACAACTAACAGTTAAAAACTAACATTAATCCTAACCAGGGTATCCGTATCTTCTTTCCATATAATCAACTGTTGATGTGACAATGAGCCTGTGGGCAGGTTTAAAAGACTGCATGCCTAACTATGTATTTGTTTGACAAGATGCTTCCCAGTGCTGTCAATAATGGGTGATATGACACCCAAGTATTCTTAAAAATATTTAATTTCTCTTCCAAGTTAGAGAGTAACAAAGCTTCACATTGTTACCTTCAAACAAAGATATGAATTTACAGAATATGGGTGAAGAGGACACACATGTAAATGCTGAAAATTGCTAACGTTTTCAGTGATAATTGGAAAAATGTGTATGATTTAGTTTAGTTTAGTTTATTGTAAAATTCCATCGATCCAGTCTGGGCTACAAATATGCCTGATGGATATAGAACCAGTCACAGACAAGAAACTAAAATAAAAAACTAATACTGATACTTTGCATTTCCAAAAATTACTTACAGAAAAATATTACTGGTTCCATTTACCAAGAAATAATTTTGTTCAGTTGGCATCACTTAACTAAGTTATGACACTGATCATTTCTATAACTGGCCTAACATTTATATCTTGTTCTATGAACATAAGTACAGTACTCAGTATGGTAAAAGTGACAGCAGGTATTAGTAGGTTAAGCAGCCAATAAATTATATTTCTCTGAACAGTAACATGTTTTATGCATCAAGTTGTGATATACTATAAAAGAAGGCTGTAAAGTTCCTCTTGTCTATCTCAAATGATGATTCTATGGGACACTCATGCAGTTACTCCAGAACACAGAGAGGATGTTTTGCATTATTTGACAAGCAATTTCATACCTCTGGTTTCCAAATCTCTTCTTACATACTGGGCATACGTTGAATTCGGTCATGAGGATGCTCTGAGACTCGTAAATCATTCTGAGCTCTTGCACCTTCAACAGCGACATATAAAATAAATGAACTGGAACAATAAATTTGTTCCCCATTCCTTAGAATACACCATGGCACCTATTTCTTTTCAATCAAATTATGCATATGTATATTCATGCATGTACGCACATGCATACATATGTAGTGTGTGTGTAAACTTCAGAAATTACTGAAGAAAGCAGTCTTCTGGGATTTGGCACGGACCGTGTCTCACGGTGTTGTCGCTTGCAGATTTACTTATACTTCTTCAACCCTGAAGATGGGGGCGATACGTTCCTCCGAAACGTCGGTTAACACCACATATACACGGTGCCAAATCCCAGAAGACTGCTTTCTTTATAGTCACCGCCGTGAAAGCCTCAAATCTTACATTCAGAAATTATTATCCCTACTGTCACTAAAAATTTAGATCCACCATTGAGATTTAGTGTCCCACAATGCTATGGGCCTCCATGGCATGTTACAGGGATAGCTTTACCTTTTATCCAGGTCTGAACTAGAAATGTCCAGACATATATAATGAACCACAGAGAAATAACACAATTTATTTATTATGAAAGTTTTTAAATAAATATACAGTAAAACTTGGTTATAGCAACATCGGTTTCTGTGACACCTTGTCTATTGCGTGAAATATTCAATGGTACGAATTGATTCCTCATAAAGCAACTGTTTTTATACCTTGCTTAGTACGACATGCACAAATGCATCAACCTCGTATGTAACGTCATTTTCATTCCTGAATTTCTCTGATATCGTGGGAAAGTTCGATGTGTCTGCCCACCCTCACTTTCTCTACTTGCTGACGTGACTGTCCTGGAAGAATACGACCGTGGGCTGCAAGAGGAGCGTGGGTTTTATGAGAAAACAAGGGTGTGGGGTGGGACTGCNACATAAGGCTACTGTGGAAGTGCCCATTTTGGTTACAATGACATTCGTTTATAACGGCACTATTTTTAGGTCCCTTTGATGACGTTATAACCAAGTTCTACTGTATATACTAGACAATAAACCACTGAAATCAAATATTATATTTCAGCATCCTGTTGCAATTTGGTATTATTCAATTATATGTACACCATCAATAATGCAACACCGATATTTAAAATAAATAAAATAAGAGATAATGTTGTATTTTAGTGTCCTGTTGCACTGATTCGTATCCATGTGTATATATTAACCGTCTTTTAGTGCATACAATTTCACTTGTCACTTCACACTACATGTTTCGGCATCATTCTGCCATCCTCAGTGTATCAATTACATTAAACCATTGCACTGCCTGCCATCAAGGGTCCATTTATAAAATGATATAAAATGTCTTCGTCTTTATTCAATAATAAAATTTATATATTAAAACTTGTTAAGATCTATCATCTTACAGGTCATATATCAAACTCATGTGTAACACCATTCATCCGCTATGGGAGTTGTTCTTCTTATGTTCTGATTGTGTATATACTGTGTCTTATGATGTGTTGTGTTGCTGGATTTATGTGTGTGACACACATACGTCCAGCAATACAACACATGCAGCCACATAAGAAAGACCTAGGCATAGATGGTAATACATTATTAAACTGATCTAAGAAATTGGGCGTGAGGGTGTAGACTGGAATCAACTAGTTCAGGATATAATATGGAGACTAGCTTTTGTGAACTCATTGAATCAACTGGATTCAAAGAGGGATGGGGATTTTCTAAGCATTTAACTATCAGCTTCTGTAGAACTGTGCACCATGGAATTAGCTACATCTTCAAGAAAAAAAAGAGAACCTTATACAATCTGAAGATGAGAATTAATGCTCTTGGGATTTGAGATATGCAATTTACATAATACAGGATAACATAAACGTGCATCCAACATGCATATTGTGAATGTTTTGATAACAACCCAGGTCATTACTTAAGCACTAGCATCTAACAAAACACTCACATCATTATGAATCACTAATATAAGGAATAAATATATCTATTAAATTGTAAAGTTGAAACATACTGTGGAGAGTATGACCTCATGAGTTGTAACCTCGTGGTAAAGTCCACCAGTGTTTCAGAGTAACATATCATCCCCATCTTCAGGGCTGAAGAATAAGCCAAGCAAGAAATCAGCAATATGCAGGTTGCAAACACAGTGAACCTGGCCCAGAAAACCAAGCATGATATAGGCCAGAATGGAACTACAAGAAAGTCAATGGTAATATGACCATTCTGTAATGGGGCTCACAAAGAAGCAACAGAAGCAAAGGAAAAAGGAAGGAAAAGGTAATTCAATTTTGCCCTGAAGAAGGCCATCATGTTTAACAAGTGAGCTGGAAGGAGTTGGGAAAGAAGTCTTATGTGTGCCTAGGCAAGAGGCAATGGAAAAGGCCATGGAGTCAAGGATGATGCTGTACAGAGGCAGGCAAGAACAACTAGATGGGTGCCCCAGGATTTTGGTGTCTTGGAACTGGAAGCAGTGTCACAAGTTGATGCTCTGCCATGTCTCAGCTGACTTGTCCAGATGGTCAAGACAAATGTGCTGCTGATGCTCCTCAACCCTTACATCAATTGGACAGCCTGTCTGCCCTGTGTAGACCTCACTACACTCATGGGGGGATGCTGTACACACCTGATGATTTCAATCCTATATTGCCTACAGGAAGCTGGAAATTCTCCTTTGTGAGAGGTCTGCCAACTGGCACAACAGTGCCAGGACAGTACCACTGCTGGGCAGTGTAACTCTCACAGAACTGAGAGCCATCCTGATCTAATTGTTACTGCAGCCATTCTGCATGACTATGACCTTGGCATGCTATCCAGACCCGACAGAGCTCTGGTCCTGTGCGCCGAGGTGGAAAGTACAGTATGCTTACTGGATGTGTGGTGGTGGAAGGAAGAGTTGAGGCAGAAGTTGATGTGGGTGGGTTTCCAGTATACTTTATGACCCAGTACAACATGTAAATATTGATATCCAGGAAGAGAAGATTGCAATCTCTTTCCATCTCCATAGAGAGCTGAATGTTTTGATGGACAATGTCCATGCGGTCAACAAAGCAAGCCTTTCAGCATCTCTAGTTCTCCAGTATAATCAATGTAATGGAACTAGCAGAGGAGGCTTATGGGCTGTGTGACAAAGCAGCATCTTCCCAAAATCATCCATGGAGAAACTGGCAATCACTGGAAAGAGTGGTTAACCCACAGCCACAGAGCCAGTCTGTTCACGGAACTGTTCACTGAATCCTCTCCTTGCCAGTATGCTGATTACTGAAGACAAAGATGATACATTCCTCTGAAATGTCGGTTGATTACTACTGAACTACATGGCATTACAATCCAGAAGATCATGCCCTCCACAGTCACCACAGTCAGAACCTCAACTGTAACTAATAAGATACAAGTTTAAAAATTGTCTTGCCAAACGCTGGTACCATCACAATCAAACAGCCTCACGCATTCTCCTAATCACTTACAATTAAGTTATGGGTCAGTACCTGCCATTATTTGATAGCCAGAATGTATATTTCACATCCTAACTACAATGTGAGCCCTGCCATATAATTAAACATTTACAATACATTAGGTAATGTAATACCTGCAAGTGTTCCGCATATATCAGTCCTTTCAGCACCTGGGACCTCCTGCGCTCATTGAGCTTGTTCTGCAGGCTAACCTCTAGGAACTGCCTAATTCGCCCCAATGGTACCTTGTCAGGCAGAACACTGAGAGCTTTCATTGGGTGAATCTTGCTGGCATGTTGTTCAAGGAGAGCGAGTGCAGTCTCGAGATCTGATGTTGGTGGACAAGACAATGTGGAAGAGGGGGCTCCCATTACAAGCCAGCTGCTGTCTGGTGGGGTTATTAACATCTTCATCAAAAGTACATAGACCTCATCATAGCCTGCTGAGCCTTGGTTGTAAACCTGTGAAGCAACAACGCTACTATAACAGATAGTTTCCAGATTTAGACAATATTAACAAAATCTAACTGATTTTTTCATATTCCAAAAACAAAATAATTCCTAATTTTTACTCTATACTAAATATTATTAGAGAGATCAGATCAAGGTCAAGGGAATGAATGGGAAATGCAGGATGTATGGAGAAATGAAACATACACAGGAAAGTTTAGTCAGAAAAACTGAAGGGAAGAGATTACTTGGAAGATCTACACATACACGAGAGGACAATATTGAAATGAATCTTAAAGAATGTATGGAATGGATTTAACTAGCTCAGAACAGGGTATAATGGGGGCTCATCTCAACATGGTAATTAATCTTTGGGTTGATTGAGAGGTAGGACATTTCTTGATTAACTAAATGACAATAACAGTTACTGCCTTCTGTGATATGATGTCATGTAATATGGCAACGTTTAGCTATGTGATGCCATCCCACAGACATGATCACAGCTCCTCATGAAGGACCCTGCCTCACAGAGGGCAAATATAACAGGTGGTGTCATGAACAGTCTCTCATCTCTGTGGTGGGCACAGATAAGTATGCAGACACTTGATATTACCAGTACCTCTTAGTTACCCTTGAGATACTAGGAAGAAACTGATTAGTATAACCTACCTTTTTCAGGACACTCAGGATAACTTATGAAGCCCAATTACATAACAAGGGGTAAGTAATGTATTTTAAATGTTTTAATAACATATAGGTTAGCCCCTTGGCAGCTAAGTGACACGTGGGAGTTCTACAGTTATGCATCATGTAAATGTGATAGATTCAAAGCAATAATTGTTATGTGTAAGTTTCTGGTTCACACAGCGGTTGTGATATATGTTGCAACAAAGGTTTGTGGTTTAGAGTGTAGATGAATCAAAGGGTGTTACATTCCTTGAATATTTCATATAATTCCACAGTAAGTACAATAACAGCACTTTCTTTGGGGAAACCCAAAATGAAAGCCTTATCATGTATGACATGTGATCACACAGATATTTCTGATCCAAAGTAGGAGTGTAAAAGTGAAGAGCTGAAGTACAACAACAGCACTTTCTTTGGGAAAACCCAAAATGAAAGCCTTATCATGTATGACATGTGATCACACAGATATTTCTGATCCAAAGTAGGAGTGTAAAAGTGAAGAGCTGACTCAGCATATATCTCTACAAATGAAGACATTAAAATCATATAAGTCCATGTGTACCGAAGGACAAATACCTTATCACAGTATTGTATGGCACGTGGCACATCTCCCAAGATGCTCATATATATGGCTAGAGCATGCTCATGTCGACCAAGCTTCCCTAGCACAATGGCTCTTTCTTCAAATAAACCTGCAAATAAAACGAAATAAGTGCTAATACAGCACTATAAACACAGGATGGAATACAAATAGCTTATATAACCATACAAAATACTGTACAGCAAATGTGCAATGCCCTCTTACTGGATAATAACGAAAATACCATAAAAAGAAAGTTTTCATGGCTTTCCTCAGCACCTCCAGAAAGATGCTGGGATAGTAACTTAAAAATATGCAGTAAATGCTTTTTTTCAAATTCATTATTCAACGTTAAATAGCCTATGCAACTAAAGACCTGGTAATAAGTAATCAAGAAGTCAATAATAGAAACAAAGACACCAGAAAGAAGAGTGGAGAACTGCGCTCTGACATAATATTCAAATTCTTCCTTTGCTCTTTTGCATATCACTGGTCTTGAGTTCACTTATTGTAGATACAACTCTATTGTTTTACTAGAAATATCACGTTGCATAAGAGCTGGAAATTATTTTTTCTTGCAGTTCTATAAATACTCAACATACCAAAAAATGTTCAAAGATTTTAATGGGATCTATAGTTTTGGGGGGTTATATAATATTACACAAAGAAAGTGTTCAACTCCTTATAAGACATACTGTATACAAGTATGATAAAATATCTTTTAAATAAGGAGCTAAAGAAACTGTCTACAAAAATAGTTATGTAAAGAATAATATAAAATTGGGGCACGCAGTAGCGTAGTTGCTTGAGGGGCTATGCTACAAGCCGGAAGGACGCGGGTTCAAGTCCCGATGAGGTCATTGATTTTTTCAGTTGACCTAATCCTTCCAGCCGCACTAGGCCCTGGGGTTTACTCAGCCTCTAACAGGAATGAATACCAGGAATTAATTAAATAATTTTCCTGGCAAGTAAAGCGTGGCCGGTGCATAAGGCTGACAATCTTACCGCCATCTTTGAGCCGATTGTCTAGATAGCGTGGGACCCTCAACGTCTCACAACCCTATGGGCCACAATATTAATTGTGGATTATGATAAGAGTTCAATATAAAATTTCATCAGAATGACATATGGATAAATTTCTAATATTTTGTTCTGTGTAATACGCACTTGCAGCAAGCATGGATACATTATCACAACATACTTACAGTCATATGGAAAGTGCACAAGCACTGTCTCTGGAGTGTAATGTGATGATGTCTCTAGAAAGTGCAGTAATTTGTTACGTATCTTTTGTGCCTCTTCAGGTGATGCTGCATGGAGCTGCTGACTACGTTCCTGATACTGATGCACAAGAGCATTATGAAAGATGGGGTTTGAATCTTCCCATACATGTATTATATGTTCCTGTAATATTAAGAGATGTTTGGAAAATCAAGTGATTGCTTAATTATCACTGTATTTTCCGTGTTAGGAGCATACATGAGAAGAACATGACATATTTCACAGAATGTGGAAGAGATCTATCTCATCCACATTCTACAAACCACTGGCAGTTTCCAGCTTGTGCTTCTACCCTGAAACTGGAAACACCATGTTAGCCACTTAACAGACTATATGCTGCATAATCTAGATGACCACAACATGAATCTTCACTGCCATGAAAACATTAACTCTCATAAAATTATAAAGCAGAAAAGTTTTATCTTCTGGGATATAACAAAGTGTAGTCCACTGAAAGTCAACTAGCATTTTGGAGGAAAATGTCACTTCCATCTTCAGGGTTGGCTCTGCTTGCTACCTAATTCATTTTGGTTTCTTCCTTGGCATATTCTCCAATCCTGAAGATGGAGGCGAAATGTTCCTGTGAAATGTCAATTGACTTTCACTGGATTACATGGTGTTACATTCCACAAGATAGATTTCTTCAGAACCACAACTGTGAAAACCTAAAATCCTACAATTATAAAGCTGTTTGTTATTACTATAGTGTACCTCAATGGCACAAACTCCATACTGACATACTAGCAAAAAAATCTTATTTCTCATAGCAACTAAATGCAATGGCATCTTTTCAGACCAGGAATGTCAGTGTGAAATAGAAAAAAGACACTCTGCACAACTATATCTGTCTTTCCCATCAGAGACTGATGTTCACTGTATTCACAATACAGTGAAATATAAAACTCTCAAAGCCTTTAAAACTTGGTCAATACCGCTGGGGATGGCTGAATAGCCAAAATATGTAGGGTGGAATCATTTACTCATGGATTAAATACAAAAAATGTATCAGATGGTTTCTCTCTGACTGGACTTGTAAATATTTGCTAAATTTACAGTTGTGCAGTTAGACATCTCATTTTTCACCCATTTACAAGTTGTCTTGAGACATGTGCATGCACACACACAAACAAAAATACACACCCAAACTTCACAGTTAAGCTAAAAAACAAGATTATATTTTGAGAGTGAAAATGTGAACTTAATTCAAATTTTACTTATTAAATGGTAGTATTTCTTTGAACTCCACAGCAATGCTTGGCTACATGTACATTTAGTAGTCACAAGAGAGACAGAAAATAAATTTATATACTGAACTTCCCATACTCTGGCATGTATGGGAAATAGTGTGTTCTGGTTACACATGTCTGCCAATTTCAAGAAAAAACTCTGACACCCAATATAGACTTAAAACATTTTGATTTAGTTTTTCTGGGAGTCTTCCTAAGCAACAGAGCAGACAGACAGGTACAAGACTATGGATACACTTACTGTATTGTGATCACAGAATGAACTAGTCTCTACTCTAATGGCATCTGCATGAGGAATGATGGTAGTGCTGGTAATGGCAGCTGGAAGAACTACCACATGGAGGGTGAATATATCATAACAAATTTGATTTTGAATAACTTCATCAACATTTGAAATAATCTTTGAAACCTTTGCCAACCAGATGAGGACCCTGGATACTTGAATAACAGATAACCAGAAATTTAATATAAATCACTATCAGGTACTGCTTTCTTAAAGTTATATATGTGACATCTTCATATTAATGAGTGGGGCTTCACATTGTGCCCCAAGATCATACCTACACTTTCAAAGGAGAAAGATGCAAAGTGCAAAGGCATGAAAACAAACAAGAAGAAAATCATCATTCTCTTCCGGGCTAACATGGAAGGTTCAGAGAAAGTGCCATCCCTTGTGATGGGTAAAGCAAAACAACCTCACTGCTTCAAGAATATCAAGTCCACACCATGTATCTACAGTCACAATAAAACTGTACGGATTTCTGGTTTGCTTTGACAGAGGAATCACACCAAAGAACAGGACAATACTCCTCTTCATTGAATAGTGCCCTACACACCCAAATGATATATGAAGCCTGAAAGATGTGAAAGCAGAATTTTGTCCTGCAAATACAACTTCTGTACTTCAACCAATGGAATAGATGCTACCAAAACCTTCAAAGAGAAGTTCCATATGGGCCTTGCACTGTGATTGCTGCAGAAGCTGCATTCATTTGAAAATGGTTAAAAAAATATATTTACCAAATGCTGTGTCCATGCTTGTGAAGGCATGGAACTCCATTGGCCTGGAAACTGTCAGTGTTTTGTGAAGGCTGGGTTCAATGCAACTGCAGTGCCAGATGAGCAAGATGATGATTAAGAAGAAAAATAAGCTCTGACACATGATCCAGTCTTCAAGAGAAACTAAAACCTCAGCACTATGTTCAAAGAAACTGTCTGTGCAGACAATATCCTTCCAGCATGCAAAGAGCTACATGTGGACCAACTCTGACCACACGGATGTGAATAAAAAGGCAGAAGAGAAGGCTGACTCATCTTTTTGATGAATGCAAACCACTTGCAACGTAGTTTGAAGCAAAGTACAACTTGAAAACTTTGGCCATTATCTGCAGGGAATCCTCAATACCCCAGAGTGTATTGTTATAAGTCTGCGAGACTACAAATGAATACTTTCAGTCTCTTTCAAGATATGTTAAACCAATAACACCGGACAAATACTGTAAAAAGTTACAGACAGTTAAAACAGTGCAACTTCCTAATTATAGTAATACCGCATTTGTTAATGCGAAATACATGTGAATGAAAAATAATGACCCATGTTTAAGAATGTCATCACTTAACCAATAAAGGGCAAGAATTAAAATTCATTAACTTCGCTGACAAGCGGCAGTCACTCTGTCGGCATACTTCGCTTGCGGACTAAAACCATGGAGTTTTTGTTCTGTTTTTTATTAAAATTAATTTAACAACCTTGATAAAAAATAAATAATTAATTCACATTTATTTTTATTCACATCAAGTAAAATGAGAAATTACATAAAAATATCTTTTTTCAGGCATATCTTAAGAGGGTTCCACTTTATTTCTTTAAATATTCACCATACTGAAAAGAGTTTCAGATAAAAGATGTTGATCTTGTGTAACTGATAATCTGCACGTGTACATCTTCAGGATGATGAGCTGTTTTTAAGGAATCAACAAGTTCCATTCACCTCTCAACTTTTGGTGTAGGTCTTAAATGCCAATTTTAATTAATCTGGGTGGTTGTGGAAGCCATACATGCACAGACACACCCTTTGATTTACATTTTCATTTTATGCACTTTGTGCAAGGAATATGTGGCCTGACAATAAAGCGCGCAAACTCATTGCAGTAAAAGGGCTACATACCTCACTGCTGAATATCACTGTGGTTGCCTTCAAGCTACTCCCCTTGGGAAGCTATGCACTGATGCCAGTGCCTAGTCCACCCATCAAAACAATTTTGGAACTCATTTTATTGAATGACCTTCAGATCAACAGGGAGGGTGTTCCAGCACAGTTATTTGTTTACTAGCTAAAAACTCCCTCACAGACAGTGCCATATGAGCAGGTCCTTAGGAACCATTTCTGCACACACCTTCCTAATGTTGAGATCTTCCTAACTGTTTCTCTGTGGATGTTCACTTGCTCTGCAATGCTTCTGACAGCCTGATGACAATTTTCACGCATAATTTGATGAACTTTTATAATGTTTTCTTCAGTTCTGCTCATTGCTGGTTATTCTGCTCTCTCTTCATCAGTGACACCTTCTCTTCCCTCAGAAAAAACGTATCACCCATTTGTAAACTGCTTTTTTCTTCATAGCATTATTCTCATAAACTTGCTTTAAGATCTCTCTGAATTTGCTTGCACTCTTGCCGAGTTTAACAAGAAATTTAATGTTCATTCAAACATTCTCGCGACGGCACACCAAAACACACTCAGACAATAATAGACGCCACTCGGAAAGAGACTGCCACATATCAATAACAACAGAGCTGTGAAATGGTGATATGTCAATGTCATCAAACCATACTGAGGTTTCTGTCCACTGTTGCCATGGCAAGCACACAGTGACGAGTTTGCGAACTTTCTTGTCAGACATTCAAACATTACTACTGGTCATTCACTCAATACATAATCTAATGACTGCAGTAGAAGTAAATAATTTTAGGTGTACCAGGTATGGGATGACTTGATCCTTATGAGTACGCAGCAGGTAATCCAGCACTTTTGGACGTGGCAGTTGCTCCACTTCAGCAATATCCTCTGTGAACATCTTGAGACCCTCCTCGGGGTTAGCGTCCAAAACCCAACCAGCGAAGTCCAGCATCAGATTGATGTGGTCCTTGCCTAATCATGACATATTCAAAAATATAAACAAAATGTTCTAACATCAAATGAATATATAAATGACGGGGAAAACACAGGCCAATGAGCCTAATTAGCATCACACCATGAAAAATGTAAGGGACATGGAGGTAAAGCTTCATGCATTCTACCATAACTTCAGAAGAAGATGAATGGTTGTCTTCTTACTCAATCAATTTACCCACAGGGAAAGACTGCAGCATGCTCAATGGACAGGAAATACAAAAAATTATCTTACAAAGTATAAAGACATAATTCACACATCTGACTTTTGTTCTTATTCACCAGCAAATTCATAGTTCTCTGAAAAATGTTACAGATTACGATAGTACGATTATCAGTTCAGTTTTTAGGCTGATCTCTGAAATGAAAATCAGCTTTAAAGAAAGATACATATTGTGCTTGTGTTCCCACTAAAAATTCTGAACAAATCACCTGACTTCACAGAAATCTGACAAAAGGAACATTTATTTGAGGCATCCAAATTTTATTTTGCCTGCAAGCAGAATATTTCTGTAAAAAATATATTTTCTTATAAGACATGCTTACAACTATTCAAAATGAGTAAAACTAGAAATTAATATATGAGAGTTTTACCATGTAGATCCACATCTAACAGCAAAGAACTATATAATTATATGATGGAAAGTTCTTAACGTAAGTTTCCAGTTTCTAAAATATTATATGTCTCAGTGCACTTTGTATTCACTAGAAATGTCTACACACTTCCCACATAGCTAACACTGCCTTCTCACATGCCAACCTAATTATTTTGGTTTTACATGAACAAAAATAGATTTCTGATTCTATATTGAGTTCAAAAAGGAATTCTTCACTACTTCTTATGGCTCAGAACACAAAGTCTTTCCTGATGGGCTGAATCACCTGTCTCTCTTATTATCCAGCCTGTTAGAAAAACCCTTAGCCATCATATGTTGAGACAATGGAGTCTAAGACGCATGGCTAACACACCATGCATTATAAATATGGATGTTCATTTCTTAAAGGAAATAAATGGTTTAGAAGAACTCACCATCACTGTAGATGCTCCAAATGTCTCCCTTATCTTCTTACACAAACTTAAATTCTCTTGAGAAGATCATTTAATACAAGTGTGAGTTCAATTATTTCAACAGAAGGAACTGTTTCACAAATGTTGCTCTGAAGTTCACCCAATGTGTGGGAATGATTTGGATACACTTCATTCTTTCAGTTTCCCAACAGGTAAAAATCACAGAGATTTAAGTCTGAAGATCTTTCTCCTTCTGTAATGCTCTCAAAACAGGGCCAGAGAATGTCATTAACATATCACTCTGAATTAAGTCTGTTCAAAAGATACAGATATTATTATCTGTGTAGCAATAATGGCACACTGCACACCAATCTTCTGATCATGAATGCGTACTTCACATTGTCTCAGATTAATACTGCTCCAGTTCTTCCAGTTCTGGAATGCGTCCTGGAACGTGCTTTGTGGGATAGTGCACAGGTCCTGTAGCAAATTTTCTTCTAACTCTTCTACCATCTGAAATCAGTGACCTGTCAGAGTGGATGTCAGCTTTGGAAACAAAAAAGTCTGCAGGGGCCAAATCTGGAGAGTAGGGCTCTTGGGGGATGACAGTCGTGCTTCACCAAAAATTCACGGATGAGGAGCGATGTGTGAGCAGGTGTGTTGTCGTGGTGTAGCATCCAGGTCTTGTTTCTCCACCCCTCAGGCCTCTTCCTTTGCTCTGCCTCCCTCAAATGCTTCATGACCTCCAAGTAAAACTGTCCATTGACTGTCTGACCATGTGGAACAAACTCATGATGAAAAATGCCCTTCCCATAAAAAAAGATTACCACCACCTTCACATTTGATTGACTCTGATGTGCTCTTTTTGGTTGGAGCGATGATTTTTCTACCGACTGCAACGATTTAGCTTTCAATTTGATATTATACCCATACACCCACGTTTCATCACCTGTGATGACATTTTTCAGAAAGTTTTTGTCAGCATTTGAACGATCAAAGAGTTTCTGACTGACTGTGACATGGTTCGCTTTTTGCTCATCTGTCAAAAAGACGTGACACAAATTTTGCGGCAACACGATGCAGCTCCAGTTTTTCTGTCAAAAGTGTGTGGCACGAACTTTTACAGATATCTACTTCTTCAGAAACTTCATGGACAGTTAGGCAGCAATTTCCACAAATCACAGCATGCACTTTCTCAACATGATCATCATCCGCTGATGTGGAAGGCCGTCCAGGTTTGGGATTATTGTCGGTGGATGGTCTGCCTGATTCGAAACGTTGATACCATTCATAACATTGTGTATGGCTCAAACAATCCTCTCCATATGCTTGCTTCGACATCTGAAGTCTCTGTTAAAGTTTTTGCCAATTTGAAACAGAATTTCATGCAAACACGTTGCTCTTCGTGGTCCTTCATGTTTCAACTTGGCAAGAATCGCAAAAGGCACAAGATAAGGTTCACTCTACTGCATGTACTCAATGACTAATTGATGTGGTCTGATTGGGCAGGTGTCAAGTTAAAGCTTAAGGTCACCGCTACACAGTGCCACTGTCACGAGTCACCTGTGTTGGCTCATTGGCGCCCTATTTAACAAGTTTGGTTTCTTTTTGGACAGACCACGTATGCTTCTGAGCACTGCTATACTCACTCAGATAGAACCAAGCTTCTTCAGAAAAGAAATTTATGAAGAAAGCAGTCTTCTGGGTTGTTGTGCCATGTATCGCTTCCATCTTCAGGGTAGAAGAAAAAAGAAGAAAATCTATGAGCAAGGAACCAGCATGAGTAGTTAGCACCTATTCATGCTGGTTCCTCGCTCACGGATTTTCTTCTCTCTTCTACCCTGAAGATGGAGGTGATACATTCCTCTGAAATGTCGGTTAACACAATATCTACATGGCGCAACATCCCAGAAGACTGCTTCTTCATAGTCACCACCATGAAAACCTCAGATCTTATAAAGAAATTTATGTTTAGGTTCAAGAAAGCCATTATGTACTGCCAGCAAAAACCAGTTTAAAAAATTAATTTCCTTGTAATTACCTACGCCAGTTACTTGAATGTGTCAAATTTTGTATAGCAATGGACTGTGTTCAGTCGCTCTCCACACTGTTTCTGTCAAAACCGGTGCCTGGTGAGTTAATCATGGCAGGTATCTGTGAGGTGAATGTTCTAATCTGGCTCCAATTTCATCAGGCTTTTCCTCGGTTATAACATTATTCCATCAAGTGTATCTGTACAAGAAAGATTCAGTTTCTTCACTTTCTTCACCAATTTGAAAATCACTCATGTAGCTACTTAGGGCAAAACCTCTTTTACATGATTAATATGATTCACTTTTCACATAAGTATGCATAAAAAAAAACTGCTGCTCAAGCACATATTTCACCATCTCAATTCAGTACTGTAAATGAGAACACAAAACAGATTTCTGAATGTCTTATGAGAACAGAAACAAAGAAAGGACCAATACAAGTTACAGTGAGTCGTTCATATGTGCAGACAGCCATGTAAGACAAACAACTGCATACTAAGGGAGCAGACAGGGTCTCTGCCATCTTTTTATTGCTTAATGCACATCAAGATCCTGTCTGCATGTTTTCCTCGCAGTTGGGGACACTGGATTCAGCCTATTGAGGAAGACTCTGCATATACAGTAAGGGAATAAGTACATTTCATCACTTTGTATGTCAGTATTGACACAAACTCTGTTATGTATTTACAAGTATAGCTGCTTATGAATCCTATAAAAAGATTTTGACTGCATGGTACCATTCACACAATGTGTAGAAATGTTTTTTTGTTGCACATCTTACAGCACTATACTGTATCTTTCTGCAAAGTCTTTGCTTTACATATGACATAGGTGAGAGACAAACACTTTCCTAGTCCATTTCTTTGGCCTCCTGATAACTGACATGAGGGAGTACCAATACGTTTGCTATAGCAGTTGACAATTCCTACATATTTAATTTAATACCACACCACATTTTGTTTCTTTACTGCTTGGATATTTAGAAGGCATTTCTCTCACCTCAATTTTGCACTCTGTACAAAAAGTACTGAACACTATGGTTGTACACTTGTCCCTTCAAACAAGAGCAAATTCTTTGTTGTTTCTTAATGAAAGCATATCCTTTTGCTTCATATTCTCCATTTTGTTCTTTTTTAGAGTACAAGGCATTTCTTTCCTGAATGGCATTAATATGCCTGTTTTTACCATGTCCATGTTCATACACAGTAGCTCATCAGGAAACTGCAATTATGTGTACTATCTGTCAGTGCAGACATGGTAACCTGAATATGGATTGCCTGGGACTTTCACAAGGGCTGAATGCAACTCTCAAGTGTCACTGACACTGCAAAGATACAAGATAGCTAATTCAGTATAGCAACAGGCTACAGGATGCACAGCTGGGGTTCTATTCCCAGCATGGCCAAGAGATTTGTCTCTACTTCAGTGTCCAGACCAGCGCTGGGGCCCACCCAGTCTCCTATCTAAGTGGGTCCCTGGAGCTCTTTCACCAGAGGTAAAGCAGCAGGAGGGTCGAAGCTAACCACTCACCTCCATTTAGTGCCACAGTGCCTCCACTCCCCCACATATGTATCTTCTTGATATAATGCTCAATTAATTAAGCAAAGGGGCAACTTTAGCTTACCCTGCTAAGAAATAAAACATATACTGACCAAGATGCTGGAGGTAATGCAGAGTGCGCTCATATCCATGGAGAGAGGAGTCGGGTTGGTCTGCCTGCTTCTGGAGTAGCTCTAAAGCCTTCCGATGCAGCCCCTTGGTTTGGTAGAGAATGATAAGTTCACTAAACTTCTGATGCTTCTTCAGCGTCTTCTCTGTCTCCCCAAGGTGACAGTGGTTTAGCCTCAACAAAGGAGCCACTAGTGCATCATTTGTCTACACACAGAATAACTTCTATTTTAGCATGAAGTTCCTTCAGTTATAATTGCAAGAAATGTCAATGGATGATAATGACAGTGCTGGTTGTGCGGTATAGTGTATAAGGTTCAGCAACTAGTCACAGAGGTATTTTAGAGTAAATTATCCACAGGTTATCTTAATTTTATTTTCATTCAAATTTTGTATATTACTAAAATGACTAAAGACAATTTTATTTCCAGTTTTGACAAAATAACCACACTACTTGGGCATATCTTATTTTTCCATATAACTTCCCTGCTTTATGATACATTTGGTCCAAGGGTCTGGAGGTTTCCTGATCCCATTACAATAAAAAAGACTGTGATTGTAACTGAAGCTATTCTTGCATTGTTGCTTTCCATTAGTGATGTTCATTTCAAATGCACTTTCATAGATGTAAATTCAACTGACCTGGATGCTCTGATCAATTTGCTCTTTAAACTTTATATAATACACTGATAACCACTTGGGTCATTAACTTCAGCGTGTCCTCCTCTGGATTTCTCTGCTCATTCATAATTTCTCTGGTTTATACAATCAGTTGGACTGATTATGTGAGAAATGAAGAAGTGTTATTTAGAGTCAGTGAGCAGAGGAATATCCTACATGAAATAAGAAAATGAAAGGCTAATTGGATTGGTCATATCTTACGCAGTAACTGCCTTCTAAAAGAAGTTATTGAAGGAAAGATAGAGGGGCAGATAGAAGTGACCAGAAGACGTAAGAAGATGCTGGGTGACCTTGGGGACAGAAGAGGATATTTTCATTTGAAGGAGAAAGCTGTAGATCACATTAAGTGGAGGAACTGTTTTGGAAGAGACTGTGGGCCTGTCGTCTTGACAGATTACTGATGAATGAATGAATGAATGAATACAATAATCTCTACCCTTAACCCTCATTAATAAATTTCACATTCTCAAAGCAACAGAACTGTATTACAGACTGTTGCTCTTATTTCGTGCATTCTATCAATGGAGAAGTCATGTTAACACATCATGGTGTTATTAAATGCTCATAGAAAAATCAAAATCATCTATGTTTAAATGAGGAAGGTTCATGTTGTTTATATCTGCACCTTTATCACTGCTGCAAATGTCATATTTTGACTTTCTCTCACATAGAATGAGGAAGTTCATGATTTATACATGTCATCCAGTAGTTCTGTAGTAGTAAAATCAAATAAAAATGGGCTGGACATGTAACTGACATGGAGGAGACTGTAACACATAAACGATCTTGTATATGGAAACTGTTGGAAAATGGTCACTTGGAAAACTGAAAAGGACACTGGAAGATAAACTTAACATCAGTCTTAGTGACACAGGTGCGTGATGGGAGTTCAGTGGGTCAGTCAGGATTTTCAGTGGAGAATTTTGATATTAACTCTGTAATTCTTCAGGTTATATTACAATTCAGATGATTATACTGCATATGAATTCAAAGGTTGTGTAGTGTTAAATAAGGGGAATGTCTCTATTCATGTTCATAAATAAGAACAATTATTTCAGTTTCTTCTTAAAAATAATGAGGTATATAAATTCCACAACCTACTTTTTAGTGATGGTCTCATGCTACAAAATTCCTAATTCAAATCACTTCTATCAGAATCAAAATCATCATTACTTCTTCAAGCATCAGAGCACTATTCAATGGTTTAAAAAATATCCAAATTTATTCTGAATCCCTAACCAAGATATTTAAAATCAAAAAGTTGATTGGGATACTTTAATTTAATTTCTTAATTTTCATGGCTAGCATCTGGATTACATTATGAATGAAAGAGCATTAATTTACTGTAATTTTACCTTAAGCTTTATATGGGTGTCAATCTTGGTCTCTCATCATATAGGAAGAACACAGACTGAGGCCATTTGAAAACATGGTCCTAATGAGAATATGTGGGCCTAAGAGAGAACAAGTAACAGGTGGTTTGAGAAACTTACATAATGAGGAGCTTCATAATTTGTACTCATCACCAAATATTACTAGGGAAATCAAATGAAGGTGAGATGAGTATGGCATGTAGCACACAAAGATATGAGAAATCCATAAAAATGAAGCTGAAAAACATGGGAAAATTACATGTGAAAGGGGTAAATACAACAAAGTGGATAGGTAAGAAATAAGAAGTAAATTTGTGGACCAGATTCAACTGGCTTAGGATACCATCCAGTGACTATTATATTCAAATGTGGTAAGGAATGTTAGGGTTCCACAAAAGCTGGAGAATTTCTTGACCAGCTGGGCGACTATTAGCATCTCAAGACACTCTTTCAGTGTAGTAAGAATCCACTGGGTGATTCTGACCCACCTGCAGATAGCATTTGAGAAGAGTCGTATCTATAATTTGTAGTAGCTGCTGTGTCGACTTGTGGTTGATATTATTCTGCTGCTCATTTTCTGTGTTCGTCTTGGTATCTCCCATGAGTTTGTGTCGTACCTATAACAGCAACAAGCATCAGAGCTAGCATTCCATATAACTCTTACAAATAGTGAGTACAAACTTTATTAAACCACTGTCCTACTATAATTTTTTTTTCCTGTTCAAAATTTAGCTTTAAAGTATGAGTATGAGAGGTGAGCCATAAAACTGGCCCTAGCACTGCAACCTTCAATGGTCTATTGTGCTTCCTAGCTTTATAGTAACTACAATGCACAACTATTAACTCCACAAAACTTTCCAGTATCCATTAGCTTCTCTTCCAAATAAATTCATTCCATCCCTGAGTACTACGCTACCTGAAGTTTCTGTAGGCTTGTAGACAGGCCACAACCTTGTTCTGTGCAATTACCATGTATGTTTAGCTCTGTCATAGGATTCTGGTATATAAATTCTATGAAATTTTTAACTGAGGATGTGTAAGAATTTTTGAACATATTTTGTTTCATCTTTCCTGTTCTTAAAATATAGAGAAACCCACATCTATGGTTTGCTTGGTAATCAGTGGATTTGAGCACTAAACTGAGGAAAATCTTAAGCTCAGCTTACTGAATTTGGATCACTGAAACAGAATGTCAAGTGGTAACAAGAAATGGGAGCTTCTCCATATTCAATGTCTTTTTGATTTCATATGTTTGCCTGCAACAATTTCCAGCAAGTTAATGTTGACAGAACACAACCATGAAAATGAACCAACTAATTATATCTAGTGATTATACTTCTTGTTTTAAAATTATCACCACATACAGACAGAATAATTCAAGATAGGAAAACTTCTTCATAATCTGTTGACTAAGACAAACATAGAGCAAAACGTCTTCTGAATGGAACTGATCACTATTATCACAGAACTCACTTATGTTGTTTGTACAAAATAAATACATTATGTGGAGGGCATGCTGTCTGTCCAAATGATTCTGAAAAGGGCAGAGAAAGGTGGATGCTGTGAGGTAATAATCCATTACCTACATCATTAAATTTTTTAATTGGCCTATTCCTTCCAGAGACACTCTGACCCTGAGGTCCACTCAGCCTCTAACAGAAATGAGTACCTGGAATTTCCTGGGGGGTAAAAGGGCGGCCAGCGCGTAAGGCTGACAACATTACCACCATCTATGAGCCGACGGTCTAGAAGATGTGGAAGCCTTGACCTCTCACACCCCTATGGGCTTTCACGGCCTGTTACACGGACACCATTACCTTGTATTTATAATTCTAATAAGTGAAAATTACAGCCAGTGAGGTATGCAAAATAGGAAAGCACTCATTTGGAAAATGTGTATTTCTATGGACATACATATTTTACCTTTCACTAAATTATGGCTGAAGTTGGACAAATGCTACACAACATAAGAAGTGCAGCAAGCAGCTACTGATCTAAAGGAAATTTTGTTGGGCTGACTGTTACAACAAGGAGCCTATTCTTGGAACATTGCTAGCAGATATCCATACATGGCCAGACACATGAATTAAACTATAAAAATCATTATACACACAAAATGAACAAGAAAGATGTTTAAGAACCTCAGTGAGAAATTCAATAAGGGCCAGCAAACCACTTTCCAAGTCCCGGTCCTGCAATCTGGGGTGCTGATCTGGCTCTTGGTGTCCACGAGACTGCTGTGGCAGCAGTTCTGGAAAGAGTCTGATCACTTCATATGGGTCTGAAAACAGGAGAATTATTCTTGAAAAACAGCACATGGTGTAAGGTTTCCAACCATCAGCACACATTGCATAAGGCAATAGATAAAAACTCTGGTGGATTTAATACATATATCAAATGAGTTGTAACGAACCAATAAATTATGTGCCTTAAAAAAGCACAATTGTTTTTAAACAGAAGGTACTAGATAAAAATATTAATGGATTAAACACATGTAAATGCATGAATCCAAAAGTCATACATACTTGACAAGCTAATTAGTGTAATTATCTGGCCACCTGGGAAATGGAATGTGCCAGTTACATGAATTTGTTGGTTTCATGAGAAAAATTCTTACAGAACCCAATTTTCATACGATTCTCACTTTCCCAGTCCTTTCATATTGCCATCTTCTGTTTCAAAGTCAAAATAACATACAAGATCTAAAAGTTTGTGACAATGGTACATTGCTACAAGTATCGTGCTTTTGGACATTATCCATTGTCCTGTCTATATTTAAAAACCGTCCTGTTTATTTTTCAAAGCACAACGTTTGTGAGACTAGTCTCTAGGGAGTAGCTCTATCTATTGGGTCCAACTGAGTAGGTTTTACCTAAGGACGGAGACAGAATCCAGTCTCCCAAACTTGTGTTTTGAAAAATATAGACAAGATGATGGATAATATCAAAAAACATGATACTTGTATCAAAACAACATGTTTATGCTTTACTTCCAACTTGGGAAACTTCATAAGTTACACAGCAGATCGATGAAATAATTTGTAACATGATTACAAATTAAATTAGCCTCTATTATAATTGCACCTCACTATGACTGCAGAGGAACTTGCATGAGGGAGGATGGTAGGCAGTGATGCTAGTGGCAGCTGGGAGAACTACCATGTGGCAAGTAAAAATATACACACAGCAACTCTGTCTCTGAATTTTATAAAAATGCTAAACAGTCTCTGAAACTTTTCAAGATGCCTGATCATCATATAACTGGGAGTTTCCTGTACTTATTCAGTTTTTGTGAGCAGTGAATTGACAGCTGTGCCTGATCAAAAGATCCAGAAAATGTATGTGACTAGATGAGTGAACAATTCAAGCCACATGTGAGATCACAGAACAGCTTCTGGACAGTACTCATCTTAAGCAACTTTGAGCTTGTGGAGAGGCCACCCATGCTTGCACCCCAAAGATGACGTACAGCAGACAAACTGTCAAGACGCTCTGGCTCATAAAATGCCCTATGATGTTCAAAAACATGATGCTGGGCTGTTAAACTGAGACTTCAAAAAGAGAAGCTACAAATTCAATCACTTTCTCAATTGATGGCTCTACAAGAAATGATTAAGCCCTGCATGGTATCAGGGTCAGCCCAAAAAACAATCCAAACTGTCAAGAGGTGGATCAACATAACCAGAGGGCAAGTCAGGACATGTTATGGTATAGTGTGCTTCTAACATCTTCCCTTCCACTTCATCTACACCTGTCTACCTACTGCAAGGCACTGAGTTTCGGTGTCCGTATATTGTCCATATTTCTGCCCATTACTTCAGCAGCCTCAACATGTGCCTGTTTCAAACTGCTAAGGCAGGCAGAATGCATGGCCAATTTACAAAATTAATTACTTAGATTTACGAGGGGGTACCCAAAAGAAACCGAACTTATTTTTTTTAAACTTATTTATTCAAATTTTAAGCACAAACCTTCAATCCCCTTCAAAGTACTCTCCACTTACACTAATACACTTGTCTAGTCTTTTATTCCATTTTTCAAAACATTGTCTAAATTCATCTTTTGAGATGCTTGACAGGGCCTCCGTCATTTTTTTCCTTCACCTCAGCAACATCAGCAAAACGCTGAAAAAAAGTTTTGATCATTTCGGGACTCTTCTTTCAAAGCACAGCATGCTTCCACGTGACCTTGTTTTTGTTCAGCAGTCAGCAGTCGTGGCACGAATTTCGCAGCCACCCTTTTCATTCCCAAATCTTCTGTCAAAATTCGCTGAACTGAGCTCCAAGTCACTCCCGACAGCTCCACAATTTCTTCAATGGTCCGTTGTCGATCTTCCTTGATGATTTCACGAATTTTCTCAACTTTTTCACGTGTTCGGGCCATTGCAAAATTGACGATCACACAAAACAGCTGTCACTATAAGCTCTGCCAAAACTAGTCCTTACCTTCTGAAGCAACGGTAGTCGGCTTATCGACTCAGGAATGTTAGCTCTATGCGCTCATAGCGGCAAAACGCGGTACTACAAAAGCTCTGCCCACAAAAAAATTTGTTCGGTTTCTTTTGGGTACCCCATCGTATACCCATCTAATGAAAACGATGTGGCTAATAACTGATGTTCAAAATATGTTATTCAATTTTCTTTCCAAAACTTCTTGCCTAATGACAGGGGTGTAAAAAATCTGCAGAGGCTTAAACCACATTAATACAATTTTGTCATTCTTATTACTCTTATCATAAGAGTAAGCAGGTAAATGCTGCAAGAATGCAGATTTAAGCCAAATTAATTCAAGATGTTAGCATCTCACCTGTTCCAAGTTTCAAGAACTCTTTCATGGATTCATGGAACTGTTTGTTGTTGAACAGGTCAAATGCATACAGGGTCTGGATCTGGTAGATATTCTTAGACTTCTCCTCATCTGACTCATCTGATATGTTCTGCACAGAAGAACGTGAATCTGCAGTAACAGCAGGCGCAATGACAAATCCATCAATATAATAAATCATAATTATTATGATCACATAGTAATATTTGTAATTGTACAAAACATGTAGCTCAAAGTATACTGATGGCACACACATTATTTACTCACATAATTTATATGATTATACTTTTAGATGATAAATTTTGGGGAAAAACTCTAAATACAGTATTTTCTCCTTTTTTAAAATTTTCAGCAATGCATAATTTTTGTGAAAGAATCAAATTAAATTATAATTTAAAGCACAATGGGAACATGACATGGGGAACTTTAATTGCATTAGCTGTAAAAATTATGTATTATTCAAAATATCATCAAAGGGAATTTTCACCTCAGTCAGCAAATTAGGAGCTGGAATCCAGCGATATGAATATCCAAACCATGCTGCCATGTTGTACTAAACTTTAATAGTATTTTCCACAAAATTATGTGTCAGTCAATGTGTTCCTATTTTGCTGCTTAAAAATACTTTCACAACACACATTTGCTTCTATCTTACATTCCTTATCTTTTTTTTTTTCAGGCACTTGCACTTAAATTTTACATCAGTACTGCCCAGTGAGAAAATGTCAAATATATAGGGTGGCCAAAAATTATTCACCACATTTCAAACTTACATAAATCACAGTTTTAGAGATATCAGGAAATGGATTGCACTGTTTGAAAGAACTGCTGAAAATTTTTCATTTTGACTGCCTGGGTGATAGTGGTGCTTCTGAAACATACAAAGCTGACGAACACAAAATGGCACTTTCTTCCCAGCAAAAGGCAATGTCTGTGTTACGGTGTGAGGAACTGAGACATCTTTCCCCTTTAATTCCTTGACTTATGATCCATAATGTGTTAGTGTTTGCTCTACTAGTCACTGAATTATCTGCCGGGCAGTAATGACATTACCCCAGACACTGGATAACCTTCACTGAGGGTTCACTGACAGGGAACGTCTTGTGTATGAAACACTGCATAGGAATATTCTTTGACATTCTGGTGAGAGACGTTAACGTGAAAGGGCAGACTGTGAAATGATTTGTTCAACATTTTGTGTTATAGTTAGCTGAATTGTAGTCACGTCGTTGAGTAATAAAATGATGTCACAAGAATATGCCTTGAGGTCTTATTTCACGACATATGGTACTGGGAGACAAAATAGGTTATTCATGTGCAAAGACGTTACCATTGGGAATACAGAAAAGGCACCTGGAAGAGTCCATCAAGCGATGGTCGGCAGTTTCAACAGACAGGCAGTGTCCTGCTATCTTATCTGTAATGAGGTGACTGGACCCTTCTTCTTTCAAGAGAAAACCATGAACAATCCAAATTATCTCAATGTGCTTGAACTATCTGCAGTCCTGTACATGGCATGCATTCAACCAAATGTATTATTTCAACAAGATGATGCCCCTCCATACTGCAGCCTTGCAGTGAGTTTCTGGATAAAACTTGTCCAAATGGATTGGGTGGAACATACCAATCCCTTTGATCCCTCGCTTCACCAATATAACCCAATAGGATTTTTGTTTATTTTGGAGCTATATAAAGGACCAGGTATTCTGTCCAAAAGTTGGCCACGTGGTTGAACTTTGTGCATCAATCAACAATACAGCTTCTTCTGACACCCCAGATGCTGGAAAACACATGGAATAAACTCGAGTACTGTTTGGACATTATGTGAGCTACAAATGGTTTTCCGTGTTGAGAAATATTGAATTTGATAAGTCGTTCTTTCAAATAAAGCACACCAGTTCTCTGTATTTTGTATACTCCAAATTATGTGTGTACATGAAATGTGGTGAATAAATTGTGGCCACCCTGTATAATAAAAAAAAGTATCTGATGTTTCATACACAATCTAATTATGATTATTATACATACTGTAAGTTTTAGTGCAAGCTGAAATTGCTTGTCTTCAAGGAGAACATGAATCTGTCGTGCGAGCGGAACTGCCTGCAGACGCCATACATGATCAACTGATGCAACATATACCAGACCCTGACGACAGCGGACAACTAGCCTCGGCTTTGGAACTGTCATTGACTGAATGAACAGGCAGGGTTCTACTGTCCGGATCTCAATGCAGTCAGTCAGCAAAGCCAATAAATATGGCTCATCATATCCTGTAAAGATAAAAGTACATATGAGTAAAACAAGTGACATCAAGTCAAGAATGTCATAACTCAATTAAAAAAAAGTCAGTCAAGCATCTAATAAAATATACATAACAAATTTACTTTTTTTTTCTCTCTTTCTAGTCTTGGTAACATCTTCAGACACTTTCCAATTTAACTACTGAATATTTATGCAGAAAACAAAAATTTATATTACAATTAATTCATTTTGCATCTAAGTCTAAAAGGAGCCTCTCTTTCTTTATTACTTCCACATACCTTCACTGAACACAATGCCACTTCGGATCACCATTTGTAGTATCAAATGTAAAACAGTAGATTTTAATGTACATATAAAAGTAAAGGTAAAGCTATCCCTGTAACAGGCTGTGGAGGCAAATAGGGTTGTGAGAGGACGAGGTTCCCACATTTTCTAGACAATCAGCTCACAGATGTCAGTCAGGTTGTCAGCCCTATGTGCCGGCTGCCCTTTAGCGCCGGGGAAGATTCCTGGTACTCATTTCTGCTAGAGGCTGTGTCGACCCCAGGGCCATAGTGCAGCTGGAAAGATCAGGTCAAGTGAAAAATCCAATGACCTCATCGGGAATCGAACCTGCGACCTTCTGGCTTGTAGCACAGTGTTTCAATCAACTATGCTACTGCATAATACAACTGGGGAAAATTTTATATGCAGGAAGCTGAACAGTGTTGACTCAGTTGAATTCATTGAAATTTAACCTTAAATGACAGAAATATTGAACTGGGAAGATTAAATGGGAATTCTGACATAAATTCTGTTTTATCAATAAACTGGTCCATCTGCTGACGAGAGCATGTACTCCTACTATACCTCTCACATCCTTTATGCTGCCTTAAAGTCAGTAACACAATTCTTTTTTCTTGTTTTGCATCTAATGCACCACATGCAACATTCCTGTTGAGGTAAACTGGATCATGAGGTTATTGGATTTTTTTCAGTTGACCTAATCCTTCCAGCCGCATTATGGCCCTGGGGTTTACTCAGCCTCTAACAGATATGAGCACCAGGAATTAATTGAATAATTTTCCTGGGGAGTAAAGCGCGGCTGGCGCGTAAGGCTGACAGCCTTACCGCCATCTCTGAGCTGACTGTCTAGATAATGTGGGACCCTCAATGTCTCACAGCCCTATGGGCCTTCACGGCCTGTTACAGGGATAGCTTTACTTTTTTACTTTACTGACTATAACTACAAATCACAGCAAAAAGTTCTCCCTTTTGGCCAGAAAAAGTTAATTAAATATACATATATTTATATACATGTAGATCTACAGACTCAGGCAGCAGGAAGTTTAATTTAATTATTACTAAGAATAAGAGATGAGAGTAACCTTTGCATGTATTCAGAAAACCACTGCTGTTTGTTTAGTAATCTTAACCCTTCCGCAACGGATAGTATTTAAATCTTTTCCTACCGCCAAACCGACGGGGTATTTAATTATTAAACAGAAAAATGCACTTATCCATGAAAAATTTAGTAACTCTCGCAAAAATTGGTATATTGAGATAAAATTTTCACAGAAATATTCATAAAGAAACGAAGAACAAAACTATATATATATTTTTCAATATAATTATGATAAATAATATTTTTTTACTCACTCGAACTGCTAAAAGTTGAGTTTGGTGTGGTAATCCTGAAAACACTGGTCAATACATAGCCCAACATCACAATCACTGCACCAGTACACGGTTTCTTTTCTTCTTTTGTTTTTTGTACACACTACACATCGCCTTTGTGGTCTAGCCTTTTTTCCTGATGGGGGAATTTTACTAATAAAATGTCTTTCACGAAGCCGGGGGATGGTGTTATCTGATGAATGACGTCGACCTTGTACTCTACGTGCTGCCTGCTCCTGGTCCGTAAACTTCAACAGCAACCCTTCTACCAGATTTACTCTGAATGCTAAGTGGTCTGTCAGTCTTTCCTGATTCTTGTTATAAATTATCATGGCATTTACCACTGTCGCATTCAAAAGGCGTCTGAAGAGTTTCATGTACCACTTATGAAGTCTTTTTCTTTCCACGTTGTAGTACTGTAAAAGCTGATCTTTCAAATCAACGCCACCCATCATTTCATTATAATCAATTATAATTTTTGGTTTTTTTNTATTTAGAATTTGAAAAATTTCAATGCAATCTAGGCGCAATGAGACCAAAGTACGAACTGTTACACTAACGATATAAAATAAAAATACCGTGCTAAAAATTCGTTCATAATAAATAACTCATATACCAATTGAAAGACAAAACCTTAATCTATGCACTCCTGAAAAGAAAATTGGAATATCTTTCCTCGTTTTGTCAGCAACGTCCTTCAAAGCTAACACTGCGCAGGTCGGTGCACTGCACAGATGTCGGTAGCATACGATTATTTAAAGAGTCGGTGCGGAAGGGTTAATGTGTCTGGAAGACCTTGTTGAGTGTACATATACAAGTTAAGACATATACACAAAATGTTCCTTTTAATTTATTATTTCACAAATTGTGTCACTTACAGAATAAGTAAATTGGACATAAAATGTGCACAAAATTTTCTCTACAACTTTAGACTGAAACATGCTTCTCCCAAATAAACATTAGAAAGCTATGAGCAAGATACATGTCATTCTTCAAGTAAACCATTATTTCTGCTTGATTTTAACAAAGATCTGAATATGCCAACAGGTTTTAATGAACACTGATATGCTGGGTTTTTGGACTTTATCCATCATCCTGGTTTTTAAGATAACAAAATAAAAACACGACGTTTCGGAAACTGGATCTGTTTCCATCCTCAGGTGAAGGAAAACACCTATTCAGTTGGGTCCATTAGAAAGAGCTAGCCTCAATCACTGGACAAACAGATGTCACAAAACATGAAGATTATAAACACCTGAGACCAGGCTAAGTCCATGAGAGATTAGCTCTCTTTCTAACGGACCCAACTGAATAGGTGTTTTCCTTCACCTGAGGATGGAAACAGATCCAGTTTCCGAAACGTCGTGTTTTTATTTTGTTATCTTAAAAACCAGGACGATGGATAAAGTCCAAAAACCCAACATATCAGTGTGTTATACACCATCGTCAGAATCCTATAGTAACTAGGTTTTAATGAAACTCACCAATTTCAAATCTCAACAAAACCCATTCAGAAGTTCTCAAGTTGTTTCATGTATACAGAGAGATAGATGAAGCAAATTTAGTAGGCACGCTGTGGGGTTGAAAATGCACCTAGAGTTCAGAACACCTGACTTCTAGGCTGAGATTCAAACCTGGCGCCTCCAGAATACAAAATTAAATTGTTACATATGAAACATAAAATACAGTTTTCTGGACCACTTCTCACCACACAGTGCATCACTGCCATCCCACACCTAAACCACTTCATAGCATTATAATGCAATTCCAAAAATTAGCCTCCCACAGACCAGTTACATAAATCTAACAACACTTACCAACAGCAAGAGGTACCTCTGACCACCTGACAGCATATTTCTGTGTTGGGTCACCTTTAGTGTTCATGAATATGGACTGAGTATCTCTCCCAAGTGCAAATGTGTTATCAGACAGCTTAGTGATGATGGGTTCTGGGTGCTTGCCTATTGGAAATAGGTCATGCTTCTCCCCAGAAAGCTAAAACAATAAACCATTTTTATTTAACCTTTGGAAGTGAGATCTGAATTACCTGTGACCAACTGGCCATACAACACAATGCCTCTCTATTTTTAGCCATTCCACAGCAGTTAAAACATTGAAATTTGGGTATAGATGGTCAGACTGTCGGATAGTTTTTTCTCCAGCAATCCAACTATCTGCACTCACAGTGTTACAACTGAGAAAACTTCAGAAAACTTAATCTACTTACCTTACAGCAGCAGGGTATAAAACTTCAACACTACCACTACAAAAATCTGACACTGGACATGTTCCTACGGCAGCTCCAGTCACCAAAGGCCCTCAGATCTTCAACTCTAAGATCCACCTTAATGTTATTCTATTTCCTTCTGAAAGGTTTCTCCAATAAATTCTGTATGCATTCCTTGTATCTCCAACCTAGTCACATGTCTAGCCCCTTGTAGCCCTCTAGACTTCACTGTCCTAACAGTATCAATATTTTACAGCTTATATAAATCACAACATTTCTTCTTACATATTATCCTACATGGCTCACTTACTTAATTCTAAACACGTTACTCTCCAGGAGCTGCAATATATGTTCTTCTCTTAAAGAAATCATGTGAAATGGGTCCCTTTATATGACATAATGGTGCATTCTCAAGTTGTGGATAGAGGAGACAGCTTCTATATATGAAACATAGCTGCAAATAGAATGACTATGCAACTGTGGGCAGCTGACTGGAGATGGATGTCCAGCTTGAAGGTTGGGCATAGTGTTTGCAACCCTTAGCCGCAAAGGTTCTCTCTCGAGAAACTTTTTTAACATGTATCAGTTTATAAAACTGTTTTAGTTTCTATGACAGTACTATTATTAACACCATCAGAATGTTCAATTAATACTGTAACGTAAAACCCAGGTAAAATTTTGAGCCAAGGTTACTGTATTATTCCTGGCACTAATTTAAACATCTGTGGTAAATATTATATTCAAGGAAATCAATGAACATACCTGCATCAAGCAATAGTCACCCTTGAAGCCAACACAGATGGTTTCCTGGCACCAAGCAAGAGCACGAGGAACATCTGCTACAATAAGATCTTCATGCAGGTCCAAGAAACCACTGTTCTTCCAGTAGAAGAGCTGAAGTTTACGTTTCACAGCCACACACATTCGCACGAGCACAGAAGTCTCTCCTGTCAGTGAAGTGTGTTTCTGAATAACCAAACCATAAAACAACAATCAGCATGAATATGAATTCAAGTGCATTAATGACAACATGCTTCTATTCAGAATAATAAAAAATACTACTGATTAAAAAATAAGTAAAGAGAGATTCAACAATAACACAACACTATGCAAATTTGTCGTTGCACAACATAACATTTTATTCTACCCATTGTGTAGCATTAATATTACTGAGTCTTTTCTCATATATTGCTCTTTGTTTGTGCATACCTTAACAGAAGTTAGCTTTCAGCATTTCATACAGCACAGACATACAGCCAATCAAAATATTCTAATATTGTATTTAAAATACCAAAAATTGGTATTTTAAACATAATAAATACTACACGAAATATTCATCTTCGAAATACACCTACAAACAAAGGCATCTCACTAGCCCTTCTACAGACAACATTAATATAACAATGGTTTAACATTAGTGACCACTTACTACATAAATCTCATTTTTCAACAATACCCTGAGATTAACAGCAAAACAATTCAAATACTTTATGAATATCCAGATCACACCACAATGACATAACTGAAAAATATCACCACAGTGCCACAAATTTTGAAAACCTCACTGATCTTCTATTTTTAAAACTTTTAATGATATTAAATCTTATAATTTTTAGATACAGAAAAAGAAAAATATGTTTAATAATAACATTCCTCAAATTCAATAAATAACTTCAATTGTAAAACTATTTTCCTACTTCAGTTACTTGGGAATTATCAAATACCTATAGAACTACATTGTTCTCATCTTCACAGAAACATTAGCTTCTTCGTGTTACGTTACATTACTTTCAAACAATACTCAAACTAGTCTTATGATTGTGCTGAACAGACTGCTGGTATTAAGTTTGGAACTATGAAGAATGCCTCGAAATGAATGAAAAAGCAAACGCTTCAAACTTTGCCTGATGCTTTTAGCATTTTATACAATGACTACAAACTCTACACAATGTATAATTTCATATTTGTAACACACATATATATAGCTTCTTTTCAAGATACAACATTACGCCAAATTTCATTGACCTCCATTAAACTTACAGATGTTTGGATAGTTACTATCTTGATAGATAATTAAAAAGTAGGACGGTATAGTTGCTTCCAAAGACATGTTGTTCATAGGAACTTTCACGAAAAGATGGGAGAGACAACTACAGATGTTACCATACAATGACTTTTCCTTAAAAAAAGAAATGCAGGCTGAATGTAATATTAAAACCATAATCCCTGATCACTAACCTTGGTGTCCAAGGTAAACAACGTTGCACCCCTTGTTCGATGAATTATTGTGACTGTTGGGAAGTTGATTACTGTCATGTCATGCACACATATAACATTGTCTGAAACCAAAAGTGTTAATTATTCTCACACATACATATTAAATAATCTCTGAGTGTTCAACTTCTCTCATTTTCATCTTAGCTCTATATTAAAAACAAGAAGTTCTTGGAAGAACTAAGTGCTTACTTTCTTTTACTGTAATTTTAGTATCTTAGATGAGAAGGAGAAAGAGATCTTTAGTATGTATGTGTAATGTAGTCAATAAAACAACACAATTCTTGAGATTGCACTGTTGCTATTACTGACAGGACTGAGTTATAAGGTACACTGATGAGATGGTCTCAGATGACATGATATACATACTAAGTTTCCTGAAGATTGTTACAGGCATTCAGGTAATATTAAGGTAATTACCTCAAGAATTTGAGAACTTGTGGTGTTGGTACTACTAATGAGAGGGTTCTTTTAAGTAAGCCTTTAATATGGGCTCAGGATGCACGATATACATACCAAGCTCCAATGCAATCGATTCAGGCACATAAGTAACATCATGGTTCACTTAGTGGGGAGTGGAGTCCAACTGGGTCCACTCAGCACGGTGGCCACTGATTGGCCTATTGTACCTATTGATTAAGATGATGGAGAATTTGGTGGAATGAAGATTGGCAGGGGAACTGAAGTACTCGGAGAAAACCCGCCCCAGCACCTCTCTGTACACAAAAAATCCCAGTTGACCAGACCTGGGATCGAACCCGGGCCGCCACGGTGGGAAGCCAGTGACTAACCGCTTGAGCTATAGCACAGCCAACATCATGGTTATTAGTGCAACAATCCAAGAGGCTGTAATGTAGGTACTACTAATGGGAGGGTTTTATGACGTATGCTGTTAGGATGGCTTCATGTGGCATGACATACATACCAAGTTTCATGAAAATTGGTAGGTGTTCAAGATATATTAAGGTTTTGCCTCAGAAATTTAAGAGGCTGTAATGTTGGTATTACTGATAGGAGACATTTATAAATTATGCCATTGTGATGGGGTCAGCAACCCCCCCACCAACACACACACACACACACACTTGAAAGTGCTTTCGTAAGCCTATTTTTATTTTTATTTTTCAAAATAAGGAAAGTAGGCTAAAAATGTGTACATAACCCAACCTGAAATTTTACTGGATGTGCCCCTACAAATAAAACTACTGAACTGGCCTAGGCACAGCTAAATGAATAACAGTGCTCTCTGCTGAAGAATGATAACTGACACCTGAGAGAAAGGAATAGAAGAAATCAAGTCATGGAAACCCCAAAACACTCATTACATTAGTAGTTTTAATTAAAACTGCTTTATGACACAAGACGGAATAAGTAGATCCTAATGGGTTCTGACAATGGTGTATAATACTCAGGATTACTTGGTTTTTGGACTTTGTCCATCGTCCAGTATCCGAAAAAAAGAAAACGAACAACACATCTTGGAAACAGATCCAGTTTCTGAAACGCGTTTTTTAAAATACTGGATAATGGACGAAGCCCAAAAACCCAGTAATCCTGACTAGACTGAATATTATGATCCCATGGCAGACCCAACTCTTCTCCCCTCCTGTCACTGAAATTAATGAAATCAAACAATGAGATGAATAAACTCAGGATTAAATTTGGCCAGATGAAGCAAACAGGAGATGAATATTCTAAGGTTTAAATCTGATGAGACGAAGCAAATATTTGATGAGGTAATAAATGATCTTAAGCGGATATAACAAGCAATAACAAATTGGGTGAAGAAGCAAGAGGTTCACAAACAAACAGGCTACAGGATTTGATATTCTCACAGCAGTGGATATGAAGAGTCCTACCTTCTGAGATATAACACCATGTAGTCAGGTGACTCTCAATGGACTAGTGTTATATCCCAGGAGATACAAGTTTTCAAAAAGTAACACATTTAGGAGATGTGCACAGAAAGAATAACATGTTCACTTCTGAACTGGAAAAGCGTAAGAGTGAAAGATTTCTATATACACTGAAAGAAGTGGTGAAATAAGAGATAGGGCATGAGAATATTGACATGTATCCATACTGGCAAGAGTAAGTCACTGATGCCCCCCAAAAATTAGATTTATGACCTCAAAAAATTATAAGTATTTAAAAATGCTAGGAAAGTGAATAACAGAACTGTATTTACCCTTAATGACATACAATAATTTAATTAGGTTTAGTTAATTTATATATAATAATACTGTAATCAGCGAGATCCTGCCCTTGCTGTAATCAGGGGTTCTTGCAGCTGGAAGCATAACATACTACGCAATACCTAAATAAATTACTGAAATACACAATCACTTTAATTCTCCTTTAACTTTTCATAGAGCCTGAAAAGTATGTCATCCAGATGTACTCTACATTATACAGTGGAAGATGTCACTGTAATGTTGTGTTCACGTCTAAGTATTAGTAGCTGATTTATTAACAGAAACCAAATTATCTGAATGTTAATGAAGAATTACCTACACAGAATTATAATAGTTGGATCTGAGGTACTCATGGTCACAACTATGCAGAGTATGGGCTTCTGGGCTGTAACACCATGTAGTTTGGATGTACTCCATCTTATGGGTAGAAGTGTATGCCAAGCAAGAAACTAGGAAAAGCAGGCTCGTTTCTTGCTTGGCTTACTACTGGACCCTGAAGATGTTCCTCTCAAACATCAGGCTCTCTCTGAAATACACACAATTACAACCTAGAAGACCATACCTTGCAAAACTTCAATAAACTAACAATGATTCCCTTAATCAATGTTAGTTCATGATACTATGGTATAATTATTAACTACTGTCCAATATGACTACGAAATATTGTAATATAACATAAATACATGTAGCAGGAGCAGCTAGACTGAATGTAAAAGCAGTGATCTAAACATTAACCAGTGTGGCTCAATTCACAAATAAGTTAATTAACCACAAATTTAAAGGGTGTACATCACTTTTAAAACATGTTTCTGCACCTGGAGTAAACAACATGTATTATGGCTACTAATCAAAATTAAATAACAAAACGATGCAGTCATTACAGGAATTCATAATAAATGTCAGGTCAAGAATTATTACCTGACAAACTAATAAGCAACTGGTATTCGGGAACAACAGCCATCTGCTGTATTGGTTTCTTGCTAAAATTTTTATTATAACGTAGCAGTTGTACTTCAGGCTTCTGATCTCCATATCGACAAGCAACACTGAACATTAATAAGTGTCCCTGACGTGTCCCAACCAACAAATTATCATCTGCGAAAGATAAAGTAATAATATTGATACTTCTTCAATACAATGACGCGTCTCAATTAATTTCGCATACCACACTTCGGTATAAAATTACGTACCATACGCCGCAATAGATTCTATTTGAACTGTTAACTTAAGCAACTGGGCGAGCTCATATGCATCATGCATTCTTGGCAAATTTTCGATTTATAACTTAATAACTGTTTAAATATCATTTGAGAAATGTGTAGATTAATAATTTTACATTGAGCATCAATGAAACCACTTCCCCTTTTCGGACAACGGTTAAAATTCCCACAATATATACACTGCATGTACATCAATAGTTGCTTTTCTCAACATACACCTCGACGACCTCGACATAATCCGTCTGTCAACGAACGGTCAACGAAAGAGCAATCTAGTGACATCAATAACAAACACTAATCCATGAAGCCATGAAGTCCATGAATGATATACAACACAATTACTCATGGGCAAAGAACAAACTCTAACCCATGTTTAATATATAGAACAATTACTCAAGGGCAAAGATTATCATTTATGCGACAACCATAGTGACCATAGTGACACATGTGTGAATGGTGACGTAAAGTTGGCAACGTAAGGTTTTGATGGTTTTGATCATGGATTGCAAGAATGGATAGGACACAGCGGTGGTTATAAAGTTATGAAGAATACTACCCTCTAGTATGCTCTAGTACATAATGCCGTGTAGGCTGTTGAAAAGTTAACTGACGTTTCGGAAGAATATACCGGCTCCAGCCAGCTAACAGACCTGCATATAAAGAGATATGAGGCCCGTCAAGGTTTTGATAATTATGAACAGGCCACTGCTAGACAGTAAATCAGCTGGTGAAGAGCATTAAGCCTGATATGGAACAGAGCGAATGTCAGAAACGGAAGATAACAGGAGCATTCTATGGTGGCCGAAACAACATTGTGAAGGGTCTCCAGGAGGGACACAAAGAACGGACGTGACCTCATGGTTCAAGACTCAGAGAAGCAGGTTGCAAAATGAATGATGTACAGCCGACGGCGAATCCACAATGATGATGCCGATATAGACTAGAAAAGTGAACGGAACATGAAATTGAACTAGAAACTAGAACGGTTCTCTGGAGCGCTATGGAGAGTATACTACAAAGATCAAGCAGAACCTGGTGCTAGGTGCAGCTGTATCAACAACTCTGATTTGTAACAACGGAACTTTCGGAAGAACTGTTTCAATTCAGATTATAACACTTTTTGTGTGTTATTAATTCTTTTAGCGAATAAAAATACGACATAAAGTTATTTTATCATCTGCCACTGTTTGAAACATTACTGTTGACAGATCGTAAGGCGTATGGGGGAGTGGAGGTATAAAACCACATTTTCTTGATCTCGGCACTAGTTGGAGGTGAGTGGTCAGCTTCACGCCAGGCCGCTTTACCCCCGGTACCAATTGTATAAAAGGTTGAGTGAACCCCAGAGCCAGCCTGGACGACATAGGAAAGTGAAATTTCTGAATGCAATGAAAATACTAGTATGTAGGAATAACACAAGGAAAAGAATAAATCAATTGTCAATCAGAATTCAGTTAATTGAGGGTCTGCGAAATATGCTAGTGCTGTAGAACACAAAGTGCTGGGTCGACAATCATCAGACAAAGAGTGCCCCATATAAGAGAAAATTTATAAGCAAGATTATACCAACTGCGAAGAAATCAAGACCACATAAACAGCTTGTTGTGTGTCAAAAACTGTGTACTGGTGTGACGCATGTGACGTGGCATTCTATGTGGAATGTTTTCACGACTAACACACCCAGGTGAATTTTTAAGATAATATGGTATCATTATTCCTAATTTTTATAGGCTTACTCTACCAAAAAATAATTTTAAAGCAGTGTGGATCAATACACTGATTCTATATACATCTTTGAACGGAGTGTGAAAATTAGAAAAACAAAACCCCAGTTTGCCCCAATTTATTACACTTTAAGTGAAATGTTGGAGATTAATCATATCAGAATATTGTTGGATCACATGAACTAGGAAGACAGAATCACAGGGGTCAAATGCTTATTGACTTTTGTGAAAGAAATCGACTGATTGTTACCAACACTTGGTAGGTACTGGGTCATGGAAGTTGAATATGTATTAAAAGACACATTCGTAGACTTTGGTAAAATTATGACATTTGTCGGCCAATGGAGATTCTATGTGTTCTTCCATTTGGTCAGGAGTACTCATGAAACATGAAGTGACCAGGCAATCAGATTCTCTAATTTCAGTTTGGATCATGGTGAGCTGCCAGCTAGAAATGATGAATTTACCTGCAGCCTAGCACTGCAGCATTCTTGTAATCCTTTTTCAGAGATGAAACCATCTTTATTCTTTTAGAACAGTGTGGGGGAGCAACAATTCAAACTCTTGACTAAATTTACAAACCAACATCCATCTTGGCGTGCATGACAAATTCAGACTGAAGAGTGCTGAACCTTCATATATATGCATGAAAATTTAGTCAAAAATAATAACTGTGACCTACTTATCATACATACTTGTGTACTTTGTGCATCCCATCATGCCAACAAGCCTCTGTGTTCATCTAATGTTCTGCTCTGTATTACTTGAGATAAGTCTCAGCCTACTGACTGTCAGCTGCCTTACGTAACTAAAAAAATTCCAATGTCACCTTATAATCCAGTCATCCAGGTGTGATTGCATCATTTTATGTCTAACATGTGAGGAAAAGAGGTGAACAGTTGTATTGTTTGCACAGCCATGGGGGCTTAAACAGTTTAGTTTTATTGAAACTGATTATGTGGAGTGAGACACTTGCATTTCATGGTTTATTCTGGTACAGGGGCTGATCTTTGGATGCAGAAGTTATGTTATCAATGTCTTTATGACATTTAAGGTTCTAGTAACACTGAAGACATCAAGAAATGGATCCACAGAACTGGTACAGGATAAGGATGATCTGCATAACAGTCTCACATGCACCTGACACTTTTACAGTTTTTATTGACCTCATTTACACCATACTTAATATCTGTGGCAGTCAGCAGCATTTCCTGCAAACTAACAAAACAATGACACAAAGAAATAAAATATTCCTTATAAAACGAACAGGTGGAAAAAAAAAAGCATGTTTAAAAATTTTGATCTTTATTCAACTTTGAATGAGAAAAATATAAATTCCAGAAACACTTTAATTTTCCTTCCCATTTTGGATATCATTTACATATGAATTATACAATGACTAGACAGATGGTGACCACATGACAGTCACAAAATCCACACACTTCTAAGGTAATTTTGTACAGATTCTTGTGTATTTGGAATTATAGTCTTAATTTTCAAAATAACATAATAATTACTGAAATATGCCAACGCCCATTATCTGAACACAATTTCATTTCTAATATTAATGTGACATGTACCGTTGAAAGAACTGGCTGATTCCTCTCTTCCTCCAGTCCATTAAGAAAGCATTTCTAGTGTATTAACCATTCCACAACTGGTGCATTAATCACTTGGACAAGACAAGCACTGTCCGATTACAAGTATTTCTTCCATTATTCATGTAAAACTAAGTCACTGCCCTGTAGCCACAGTGGAATGGCCATAAATTTCATTTAAGCAATGAATACCACTAGAAACATTAATATGCAGCAGGACACTAGTTAATGTGTTGGCAGTGAATGGGCTTTCTCTTTTTTGTTCTGAGATATGAGGTTGACTGTGCAAAATATTAGTTTTCTTGTGATTAGTATGAAAGGAAAATGAATGTGACAAATATGTTAGATTATACATATCATATTGGAATATATGCATTCATATATTTATTCAAATTAATATATTTACTGTACACAAATATAGTCAAATGACAAATGAATCTACAAATAGTTAAGCCTTAGCTTCATTCGATTCGTTGCAACTACCAGAGGTACCAGTGTTTTTTCCTGATACTCGGTAGAAAATGCTGTTCGTTGTAAAAGCAAAATAAAAAATAAAGAATATAACCGTGGAAGGGACGTGGACCAGTTTGAATCCAGCAGTTGGCAACCTTAGTCTTTAATGTTTTGAACCAAAACTGTGAAACCTTAAAAAACTTAAAATTAAAAATACTTGTAATCAGACTGGATTGGCAAGACTGATCGCTACATACATTTTTGCAGTACAGGAGTTCATGAAAATGAATGAAAATGCGAAATAATGTTTTAATAATGAAAGCTACTGTTGCCATTTTAAAAATAAATTAAAGGAACTTTACAATAAAATTACACACTTTTTTAATGCCTTGCCACTGGCTTTCAACTGATGAGGCATTTTGAGTGAATCTTTTATTACACAGCAAAAGTTAAAATAAAATAAAGTAAATTATTTCTACAAGTGTTGTGTGAACAATTTGACACATGTATGTGTATGTATATGTGTGTATACCCACTGATATTCAATTCATTCTCTCTTCACATGGCAAACAGATGGTTTACACTGACCAAGACAAACCACAACAGTTGACCGAAATCATAATCCGTTTAATGCAATCACATTGTCAATTAGTTATCCTGGTTCATGATTCAAAGAAAATACATCGAACCTTTACAGGGTTACAACTGAATATTCTTGTCCTAACTACAATTTTCACACAGTTAAGATGGTTCAAGGCTGAGAGAAAAAATCCTCGAATACGAATGATGTACAAACTTTCTGAATGAACGATTCAATGAGTGAGTGAGTGGGTGGGTGAATGAGTGTAGTGTGAATCAGAGAGATCTGTCAGGTTGGGTTTACAGATCTGACTCGCCATAGAGTGCCGTGGAGAAGGACATGTAATCTAGAGCCCCAGGTACAGCATTCGGTCCCTTGTATGGTGGCATGCGCTGAATGCAGTACTCTGCCTGATCAGGTGGCAGCTCTCTCCGCAGCTCATCAGGTAGGATGTATGGCTGAAAATACAATAACATTTTTTAAACACAATTACTCAAGTTTGATTTGTTTCATTCTGGTCCGTCACACTGACAATTACAAATATAAATCACTCCGTCTAATGTGACCTGTAAGTTTTTTACTACATGAAAACTTAACACCCTTACATGTGTTTACAGCACAGCAGCCACGAGCAAACCCTGGACGATATAAAGAACCTCCACATCAAGATAGCCAGGTGACACAATATCTGCCCCATACAAGAGGGACGATGGGAGGACGAACATGAGCCTGCATGGTTTACGAATTTTAATTATTGACAATACAAAAATTTTTTTTAATTAGCATCAAGAAATTTTATATAATTTTTTAAAAACTTTACATTCCCAGGAAACTGCTGTGTTTGTGAAATGTTCTATTATGTGTACTATGCACTGTAGCATATAAGTGTACGTACTTTACGTCTAAACAACTTATGTGATGGTGGTTTCCTATATGTAGTGATGTTTGCCCTCTGAAGATGGTCCACAGAGACCGAAACATGTAAGGGTGTTAAGTTTTCATGTAGTAAAAAACTTACAGGTCACATTGGATGGAGTGATTTATATTTACAATTACTCAACATATCAATCATTCAACACTGTCAAATTCGTATCAACACAACTCCCCCTTCCCAACAGCAGTAAAGGATCGGTATTTCTAGATATACCCACTAAAATGTTTGTGAATCAATGACTGACACTGACTAGTACACGGGACTTGTTATTCATTTATTACAAGCTCATATACTGTCAAGAAACCTATTAAATGTTGGTCCAAGTAAACATGTAGTCAACACAGATTTATCTCTTTTATCTGGCGGCACGTGGTAGTGTAGTTGCTTGAGACACTATGCTACGAGCCGGAAGGTCATGGGTTTGAGTCCTTATGCTGTGAAAATTTTCAACTGACCTAATCCTTCCAGACGCACTATGGCACTGGGGTCAACACAACCTCTAACAGAAATAAGTACCAGGAATCTTCTTGGGGGGGGGGGTAAAGGCAGCCGGTGTGTAAGGCTGACAACCTTACCACCATCTCTAAGCCGACTGTCTGAAGAAAAACATGGGAGCCTTGACATCTCACAACCTATGGGCCTTCAGGGCCTGTTATAGGAATAGCTTTACCTTTCATCTTTTTACCTATACTGCTAACAGTCTGGGACTGATGATACAGAGAGTTTTATTCTGGTAGAAAAACACACATTATCAACAAAGAAGGTTTGAATATCTCAATTTTTCCACGAAAATGAATTAAATTATGGTTCTCAGCTTTAAAGTTCACTCACCTTGTCTCCAGCCAGTAAGCGTAAACAAAAGTTATAAATAACTTTAAAAGTTCCAACAGCTCCACATTACAAGTACACCATATTTTATTACAGTCTATTCTAATTCTTGTAAAAGTACAGGAAATTTGTTTTAATTAATCTAATCAGTCAAAATTGATACTGAAAAAAGCCATCTTCTGGGATGTGGCGCCGTGTAGAAATTGTATTAACCACGTTTTGGAGGTTAATACAATTTCTACACGGCGCCACATCCCAGAAGATGGCTTTCTTCATAGTCACCACCGTGAAAACCTCAAATCTTACAAATTTGATACTGCTTGCAAGTGTCAATAAAACAGCCCTCAGAAGAGAGATAACACCACTGTCATTATCAGGCATGACCTGATTCAGTTTGCACTTATCCTTTACCTCCTAACTTTTCTCTCTCTCAGCACTTCCACTTCAGAGTGGGAAAATTCTCACAAGCTGAGTTCTTTAAACACAAGATTTTATATCATTCATTTAGCGCAATGTAAATATTCCATTAGATATAGAGTAAGATATCTTTCAAGAAAATAAGCTGGTATAAGTATGTGTAAACAAATCTAGTGCAGGTGTTACAGTCACTGTTACACTTTTATGGGAAAAACGTTCAGGGTCTGCAACTTTAGGTGAAATATGGATAAAATATTATTGAAAATGTGTAACAGCAATCTTGTGACAGGTATTTGTCAACCTATCCCAGTGAATCTTATTGTTAAAAGCCAAGCTGCACTCTCTCATTTAACACTAACGACTCCTTTCTCTAAATATCACTTCATACCACATTCTTAATAAACCATTTTCTTATCATACAACATAAGAATTTACCCAATACATTGAACAATATTTCATATTTTACTATCATATACAGGCTCTGTGGTCTAGTGGACAGTGTTCCTGGCTATAGATCCAGAGGTCCGGGTTCAATTTCCGGCGCTACCAGATTCTTTTCTGAGAAGCAGTGGGTCTGGAATGCGGTCCACTCAGCCTTGTGATGATAACTGAGGAGCTATTTCAAGGAAATAGTGGCTCTGGTCTAGAAAACCGAAATTAACGGCTGTGGGGATTCGTTGCACTGACCACGCGACACCCCCTCTATCCGCAAAAGTTGGCACTAAATTTCACTGACAAGCGGCAGTTGCTCAGTCAGTATAGTTCGCTTGCAGACTAAAATCATGGAGTTCGTTTTTTTTTGTTTATTTTACTGTCACGTTAAATTATCCTGTATTTTGACACTATTACCAATCTGCAACTAACTAGACAAAACACTACTCCCCACACTGTTAAAAACACTGATTTGTACAGGTAGTTACTATACTGGACCAGTGATTAAGGCTAGCTCTTTCTAACGGACCCAACAGAATAGGTGTTTTCCCTCATCTGAGGATGGAAACAGATCCAGTTTCCGAAACGTCGTGTTTTTATTAGTTATCTTAAAAACCAGGACGATGGATAAAGTCCAAAAACCCAATATATCAGTGTGTTATACACCATCATCAGAAACAGATAGTAACTACCTGTATAATCGGTATGGACCCGGTATTTACCCTTCTTTTAAAAAATTAGAACGCCTGAAAATTCAGTTAGCAAAAACCTCAATCGTCCAGTGACTGAGGCTAGCTCTTTCTAACGGACCCAACAGAATAGGTGTTTTCCCTCATCTGAGGATGGAAACAGATCCAGTTTCCGAAACGTCGTGTTTTTATTAGTTATCTTAAAAACCAGGACGATGGATAAAGTCCAAAAACCCAATATATCAGACTGATTTGTACAATTAGGAAATCTACAAGCCTACATCATAAATCTGATCTGCTTCCGAACCATCAAAGTTTCAAACAAAGTGACTGCTATATTGTTAATGAACACCATCAATCTGGATAATGTACAGTCAACATGACTAGAAGAAACATGTATAAAGTAATATTACCTTATCTCCCGCAAGAATGCGGAATGAATCGATGACCTGCTCTGCTGTGTCGGTGTCGGTAGTCTCACGCGTCATGAAGTCCAAGAATGCATCAAAGTGCACATAACCTGTTGAGTTGGGATCCACAACAGCAAGGATACGCTGGAAATCAATCTCACCCTGGCGATCTTTGCCAATGCTGTATCCCAAACTCACAAGGCACGATTTGAATTCCTCAGGTGCTAAACGGCCGGTGCGGTTTTTATCAAAATGGTTGAAGCTGCTGCGGAACTCATTCAGTTGATCCTACAACAGATTCAGCCATTTACATCTGACAGCCTGTTTCACCTCAACAGGCACAACAGATGGCACTTCTTAGCCATCAATTGAGTTACTAAGAGAGGAAATCACGTAATAATTTAAAAGCAAGGTCCTGGGAATGCCAGTGCCCTGAATAAATGAAACTAGCCTACAGCTTCACAATCTATTTTTGTAAGATTCACTTTAACATTATTCTTCCAACTATGCCAAGGTTTTGCATGCAGTTTCTTCCTTTCAAGCATCCTGATTAAGCTACTGCATGTATTTCTCACCTCTCCCATGAATGCTAACATCCTACCCAACCCCCACTTCACAAAGATTTGGGAGGGAAGGAGGATTACAAATAGAAGATAAAGAAGAAAGAATAGCTGAAGAAATGGTCATGAGATTATTGCAAATGATAATACTGTTCTTACCTGAGTAATGCCCTTTGAGTCCCTTGTTAATATCTGGTTCTCCACTTCATTGATATTGCGATTGATGGATGTAAGCAGTTGCTCCCAGCCGACACGCAGAGTCTCCATTGTGTACTGTGTGTACCTGCACAATACATTAAGCTCTGTTATGAATGATGAATTCATGAAATTCTCTCACATGAAGCTGAGGGTGGGGGGGAATTCCGTAAGCAACCAGGTGTTCTAGGAAAAGGTGCTGGTATTCCATCCAGCAAGTTGCCAGAGTTGAAACCACCCAGGTTCAGTGTGGGTATTTGCACATGCCTTCTCCTTTCCAAGCCTTAAGTAAAAAACTGGTCCCTTCCTCTTGTGGTTCAGATTCTTTGATAATAAACAAACGAATGGTGACAGACTCCTGGACTTGTAGTATATGTATTATTTACAAATCACTGAATGTGTACATGAATCTCTTCATAGCTAACTGCCTTCAGAACTGAACTGCCAAACTGTGAAGCAGTGGCAGTGACGTCACACCAGTAGGGGAAGACAATATTTGACAGTTTGCAGTCTTATCATAGCATTCTGGAGGTGATAAAATATCCTGCACCCCAAACTGAATCTGGGGATAGCATCTACTTCCCTCCAACTTCAGCAGCAAGATCAGAATGAGTAGCGAGTTTCACGTCTTGGCTGCCTTACCCCCAGGAAATGAAGCCCTAGTATGCACTTTACAGGAGGCTGGATGAGTCCAAGAGAGCCTGGAGATGATGTGCCTCCTGAGAGTCCAGTCCTGGTCATCCAGTCACCATTTTGATCCTGAACTAAATTACTGAAGCTATATCTATAGAAATTATATATAAAATACAGAACAGTTTAAAATTCTGTTACACACATCTCAGGATGGAAGAAATTTGGCCAAAGCACTTCACATTGTGGCAGAGAGGCAAAATGTTTTCTCATATTTCCACAGTAGGGTTTCTACAACCACCACTGCCGTCAGTGCCACCTTTTTATATCAGCAGCAATAATAATACCGCATTACTTCAAATATGGCAAACACTTTACACATTCTTTGTTCTGTTTAAGACTTGAGGTGCATCTTAAATTTGAGGAATGTGCACTTTTCAATTTCTTTTCCTAAAACCCACATTCAAAAACTGGATGCATCCTGAACTGGAGGGTGTTTTATATTCGTAGTAATACAGTAAAAATAATCACAACCACCAACACCACAAATGAAACTCTTGGTTTGTTCTGGTTAAAAGCATCGAAATGTCCATCTTTTTGTCAAGACATTTTGGCATCTTCTACTATTCTGGTTGTACTGATAAAGCAACTTCAGAATATAGTTTTCAGGTATTCTTTTAAAATGTTCTAGCCATTTATTCTGATTGTTTTCTCCCCATTGTAGAGACATCTTTATTCCCAGTTACTCTCAAACATCCATGACATTTACAGTGCATCATTCTGTAGCCTGCATATCTTAAGGAAATTCATTTCAGCCATCTCCATTCTTGTTTCTTCTTTCATTGACATCCAATGCTCAGAGCCAAACAAAAAGCATAGGAACAGCTATTATGCTTTTAAGATACAACCACAATTAGAGGCGTGATGTCCAGTAAATGAGATCTGAAGTTATCAGAGTGGTGAGTATGAAGAGGTCTTCTGGGATATGATGCCATACAGTCTGAGAGATAGGTACCAACACTTCAGAAAAATTTGCTATCCCTGTCTTCATGGTCAAAGTGAGTTAACCTGGGAAAGTGGCAAGTTATAGAGGGAGGGGGGGGGGAGAAAGAAAGACAAAGAGTATGAGAATGATCAATCAGAATTTAATATGGGGGAAAGACAAATGGGGCCCACACCAGCTGAAGGAGAATGTAGGCCCTAAAAAGGATGGTTACTCCAATAACCTGTACAGGCTCAGAAGAAGGAATAGACAGCCTACAGCCAGCATGGAAGAAAGGATAATGGAAGAGAAACAGAACCACTGGCCCTGGATTGGGCAGATTTAAGGGGCTGCTTTTATTGCTGTCAAGAACACAGCAAGTTTCATACAGCAAACAATTACAAATATATCATATGTTTACCTGTTCTCAAAAATCATGCCTTCCTGTACAGCCTGGTGAATCTTTTCAAGTTCTTCAATGTGTGGCTTGTAGGCATAAACCCCTTGTTCATATTCCTTCAGTCTGTGTAGCTGATCTTCAAGTGAACCCTGAAGTGCAAAGCATATCAATCAGGAAATGTGGGAAGGGGAATTCCTGTTCAATGTTAAATTAGAAGGGTCAAGAAAGGTAAATTTGTCCCTATGCTTAATCAATCACATCATGAAGATGTATGGAGGAGTGGACATATAGCTCCACTATTCTTGGCCACAGCACTAGATGGAGGTGAGCGGTCAGCTTAATATCCCAGCAGTTTTACCTTTGGGAATGAGCCATTGGATAGGAGGGTGGGCTCTATAGCCAGACTGGATGCTGTGGAACAGAGAAAAATTTCTTGTTCTGGCAGGAACTGAACCACAGCCATCCAGCCTCTAGCTCATCGTTATACTAACTAAGCTATCAGCAATTATTTCTCTCCTGCTCTGAGTTGTCAGCTGTCACTGAACGTAGGTAACCTCACTCAGACCATCGCACTTCACAGCACACAGGTGATGTTCTCTCTACTCAAGATTAGTTACGAGTGCAGTTGTGAAATAAAACACAGCGTTCACAAAAATAATTCTTATATAACTACAAATTTTTTAAATATTCTGCATGGAAAGTAAGTTGATAATAACCAAGTTTTAAATGTCATATAAAATAACAATAATGGAAAGGTTTAGCTCACAGGCTTGCATATGGACAAAAAGAAGGCACAATGAGAAACTGAATGGTAATGGTACTAAAACAAATGTCCCAAAACATCATGTAGTGATTTACTAAAACCCAGCTCATATCTAAATATAATCAGTTAATCTTTAACATTTGCATCCTGTTGTGTACTGGTATTAATTTGACCTGAAATTACCATCAACACAACTTATATTTGTGTAATATGTATAATAATAATTAAAAACCATTACATGTTTTTATCATTTATGGCCATCTTCAGGTGGTACATACCATAAAAACATTTTTACTGAACACTCACACTATGTTGAAGGATTACCCCTTTGAAATGGATCCAATTCAATTAGGGTTAGAATACACTCTCAACAGTGCTTGTGAAATATGCTCTGCATAATTTTACCAGCATTATATGGTAACGATTTTTGGAGGTTCATCACTACAAACTGTTAACAGTGAATCAAAGAAACCAGTTAACAATGGTTTTAGCTAAAACTGGGGCTTTGATTGGACTTAGATGTGGACACATCTTCATCTGAATTACTACTGAATACTCAATTGTTATTAAAATCAATTCTGTAAGTAAAATAAATAGCTGTGAAAAGATGCAAAAATTATTAAAAATATCTGTATTGTGATTCTGCATAACATGGAAGAAACTGTAAGCTTAGGTCACCATATAGGTTCCAATACTGTCATTATTAAAGACATCTGATTATTCCGTTTTCTAGTTCAGGTATTGCACTGTTAGTGATTAAGTTCTTTGTTGCATGTGGATAGTTAAACTGTTGAAGCCTGACTTGTGTTGACAGTAATTTCAATCCAAATTAACAACTGTTGATGCTACAGCCCTTCAGAATCAGCCATACACTTCATGCTGCCAGATCATGAAGCAAGAATGTAATACACATGATTCTCCCCACCCCCTGATTGCGTAGTTCCTCCAAGCAGCTATGTGGACAACTGCAACAACTTCTGAGCGCAAAAACCATCATGCATCCCACAAAGCAAAAATTACTCCTCTGTAATGTATTTATAAATACTGTGCCAGTTGCATGAAGTTAGCTACTAACATCTATGGAGCTCAGTCTGAAGATAAGTTGCAACACCCTTAACTGACCTGAATCCAATTGCCTTTAATCATAGAATGCTTAAAATATTATACAGCACACATTTATTGTTCCTCTTGGACAAAATATACTTTATCCAACCTGCTGAAGGAGCCCTTGTTAACTCATCCGTCTGAATGATGACAAACTATTTCATACATTTCCATTCACAGAAATCATTCATGTGTTGTCACCATACAATAAGAGGTTACTTACCTGGAGACCCATGCCAATGGCAGTGACTGCATCCATCTGCCGTTCAATCCATGGTCCCACTTGGTTGGCCTTCTCAGCAAATTGCCTACGAACCATCTCATTGTCTGTAGAGAAACACTAAGGAAAATACCTTGTCCCAATGAACAAACACTATTGATTTTGGACACAAGTCTCCTGGAAAATGTCCCCCACTTGCTAGGAAGCATAACATTAAGATGGACCTTGGGAAATGTTTTCTGATGGATGGGAATGGCTCAGGATTATGTGCAATGACAAGCTTTGCATTCAGTTATCATGGCGTTAGTCAATCAAAACTATATAAATGTAGAACTTGTGCACAATTCAAATGTCAACATTCTGACACAATATCAAGCGAACCTCAACACTCTTGAAGGTGTACAATTCAATTCTATGACAAGAATAAATGTCACACACAAAGAATGGTGGTCATGAGGGTACTGAATGTGGAATGTGAAACCTCAGTTGTGTGTCTGAGATCACTCTTAAGAAAGCCTATAGAAGGATATATTTCAAACAAACAAACTTTATCAGCAGTGATAAGAAATAGTGGTATTAATTTATGAGCATCAGTAAATTGTATTCAGTTTAATTATAACTATGCATTTATGCATAATTTAAACTTTACACTTAAGTGAAGTAGTACTGCAGTAAACAGCCAATATATATAAATTACAAATACAACAAAATAAACATTATTTACCAACTACATATAAATATAATACAAAGTTATAATCAAAATTTGTTATAATTTAATCTTGTGGAACATGATGTGATTTTAAACATCTTTAAATTCCCATAATGAATGAAAGTGAACTGAATTTAATAAAAACCACAAAATAATCCACCTAAATATTCATATATTATTATAGCATGTAAACCTGTTGCTAAGTAATGACTGTAAACAATGCCCATTGCTAGCCAACAGATTCCTAACATGCACCACCGAACTGGGAAGCAGGGTTCTCTATGCGGTCCATGTGACAGCTGCACGACACAATGGAAGAGCTGTTTGGAGAGGTGTTCTCTATGTGGTGCATGCCAAGGTGTTACAAGCAGGACAGCTCTGAGTTAGCTATGAGACTGTCACCAGCAAGTAAGGATGTGAACATGGAAGGTGAGGGATCTACATTATTGGAAATTGTAGACACAGTAGACTGAGAGGACTCAGAACGTGCTGTAGTGAAATGCTGAGTGTGTGAATAAGTGATAAAGGCATAGTTACTTCTAGTGATGATCTGTAAGTGTTGAATAAATCAAATTAATAATCCAAACCCTACCTACAGTCACTCTATCATATTACATTATACAGGTTCATATTGCAGTTTGTGACTGGTCATAAAATCATGGATAATAAATATCTGAAAAGCCCAATTAGTTGTTTGCACAATTTGTTTGACTTTCCCATGATTCTGACTTAAGTCACGTCATTTCCTACTCCTCCATTGTGTTCAGTGTTCATCCAGTACTCCTCTTGCCATCTTTCTCTGTGCACTTTTAGTGGCATCTATTTCTTTATGTAAATATACAGAATAGACTTGTGTGGAGGTAACGTTGTAGCCCTGTACTTGGGTGGTGCTCGGTTTGAACCTCAGATAGGATAACAGCTATACTGAGTAAGGTCTTTGGTGGCTTTCTTTAGTGCTTCCAGGCAAATGCTAGAACTGTACCTCAATTGGTCCATGAATGCATGCTTCCTTCCAAATCCTTTCCAATTCATCAGTCATCCTACCCTACCATATGACACTATAGTCTTCATACTGAAAGCATTATTAAATAACCCACTAAATAAATATAAACATTTGCATGCATCAGAAATAGGGCTGGGGACGAAAATGGTGCAAAGACATTGTATGTTCTTTCCCACAGATGTCTAATCTTGACTACACTGCTGTGGAAACAAAACGCTGTTGCTTGGTAGATCACTGCTCATTGCTGACTACTGAAAATGCAATCAAGCTGACCATTATTTTCTTCAAAATACATACCACCTATGAAATTTTACTTCGAAGATGGTCTCAACAAAAAATTGAAATTTAATCAAAACTGTTACAGCTATTTTTGAGAAAATCACCATTTTGTGTTTTGGGAGCCATCTGAAGGGACAATATTTTTTGGAGCTTGGATATTCATATATGTTGAGCACCGACCTATGACAGACAATCTTTTAGACAGTGAGTACGAATAAAATCTGTCCAACCACTCAGGTGCTAGTGAGGCGTGTATCCATACCTACATACATAGATGGCATACCAAAAACAACTTTTTTTTGTATCCATTAGAGCTCAAAACATGTAAATCCATTACGACATCAAGACCTTTCACTATCACAATACTTTCTCATACATAACACACATATGATGAAGTCAAAAATAATTGTAAGAGTTAAAATAATGTGAACAGAGATTAAGCAAAGAAATGGACTAGAAAATCCTATTCTTTGGAGAAGCTGGAAGTTCTGAATCAGTCTGACAGAAATACATATAAAAAGGGGGGGGGATACTGTATCATTTCTGAGAATTATGACATATTCTATGAAAGTATCTTCGTTTACATTAAATAAGGATACTCTGCTGCTTCCGCAATTCTGCCTGCAAGGTCTGATCCCGCTGGGGTACAAGCTGCCGCACATCTGACCACTTCTTTGTGAGGTCCTGTAACATTACAATAGACAGAAGCACTTTTAAAACAAAGAAACAAACAATTATATCACACACTTTTATATTCCAAGAGACCACCAACCACCATGATCACCATACAATCTTGTCTAACTAAGTAATTACTATTTTATCCATGTACTGTTGTATTATTATTTAACATCAATTCTATAACCATCAAATGCAATAGGTTACCCCTGTGCATAACAACCGCATCATGAAGGCATATAAGGGGAGTCCATGTAAGCTCCACAAACTTTTACCTCAGCAATACATGGAGGTTAGTGGTCAACTTCATGTACTGACTGTGAACAGGAGGCCTGGCAAGCCTCTTGTGGTCAAGAGAAAAACTGCACTCCTATCAGAAATGAACTGCAGTTTTAGTCTGTGGCCATTCATTTACTGACTGAGCTATTCTGACTTAAATGTTCTAAGCGACAAAAAATATAGATTTGAAGAGATATGCAGTGACAAATTGTGACGGGAATATACAGTGATAAATTTAAACACAGTTCAACTTCACAACACATCCTATATTAACGAACTGAGTCACATTCTTCTACATGTAAGGTGTAACCAGAACATCATCAATTTAGCATAAATTTACCAACAAGCATGGCTGAACCTACCTGAAATTTGCTATCCAGTTCTTCCTTGTCAGCACAAAACGTTAACAAGAATCACTACATAAACGAAATAACACTATCAGTCACATAACATTATGCTACAAACATGTCTCACAAGTATGGGATGCTTAAATCCCCTTAAATCTATTAAAGCTGTTCAGGGGAGAAAAAAAAATATTTATTTTCTAAGAAAAATGACCATGCAAATTTCCTATTTCCTCATAATGAAAAACAAGGCTTGATAATTTCACAGTGCAGTGTAATATCTGATATACATTTTATATAGCAGCACTTGTAATGCAGATGGTGAAGTCCTATCTCCAGAATGGCATATTGCCATTTCTACATACAAACATATATTCTTCCACAAAGAAATCTAAAAGGTGTGATGCATGAATCCCTTAAGATAGTGTACAAGAGAGATATGAAAGGAAACAATCATAACATGAATAATAGGAAACAATAATCAATTAACTATTTCCTGTCATATTCATATCCCAATGGAAGTTGTCAATGTGACAAAAAAATCAACCGTTGAATTGCCAGTTTTTAATCTGTAATTTTTGTATTTGTGTAAACACAAGATGGATGCTATTTTATTAATAAAGTAAGGCTAAACTTCTATTACGATTCATTGTCCCTGTTGATATTTAACCTATTGACTTCAAAGTATTTCTGTGGCATATAATTAACACCCCATACATTTCTTTAAAATTACTATTTTAAGATATGATCGTTAATGCACTTCTAAAATAATTATCTTTTGGTTTAGATAAGTATCATAAGGTAGATATGTGTGGGTAAGAATTAAATGTATGCTCCTGTATGTGGACCTGCATGAATACTTAAAAAGCCACCATTTGCTTGGCAACATACAAACAGCTGTACAAGAACTGGCAGCAGGAAATGATGTTTTCAACAGCTGCAAGTGCTCCAGTGTGTGTTGTTTCCATCATTCCAATCTGATGTGATGCAGTCTGCTGTTTATTATTTTCAGACTTTAAAAAGAGAATGTGTCTGTTGCATGACAACTTTTTTCTTAGTATATGAAGGCCCCTCAGATTGTGAGGTCCTAAGATGTAGCTTATTATTTAGTTTATACATAAATCTGGCCCAGAAGAGTTACACACATAACTGCACACATACAGCATGCTGATCTCACACGCCTACTGTCTCGTGTTAAAGGAAAGTATGCTATATTACAGAGGAATACTCACATTTGCTGTGAGAGTGGTGTAAGGGTTTTCCAGTCCACCAGGGACCTGGTACTTCTGCACTGTTGCCTCCACCTCACGAACCAACCCTACAATAGAGTTGTACTCCTTATCTGCTTCTCCCAATGTTGCCTTGAACTGGCTATGTGCATCGATCAGACCTTGTATTTCCTCCATGGTATGGACAATGAACATGTCTACAAGGTCCTCCCGGGTGCCATCCAGCCAATTGTTGAATGGCTGTCAATGCCAACATAGTAACTTATTAGTATGAACTCAATGCCTGTGTATGAATGAAATGAACTCCCTGAAATAAATCAAAGGCAGCTTAAGACTTAACTCCTCACATGATGTATTTTGTGGGTACATAAAGCACACATACAACTGTAACTCTGGATATCCGGCCATCACCATTCCATCCAATGTGTATAATCAGCTTTTCAGCTATTTTACATAGTACATAAACATGTCTAAATACCAGGCAATAGACAACTGGGAGATGAAAACCACAAGGAAGCAGTGAGTCATTTAAGATCTAAATGTGCAGCTGAATCTGCAAGGTCAAAACTTCCCCCCACATTGGGTATGGAGTTCTGTTGAAGGATTCAGTTTATGTTAAAAATCAAGACCTCGGACATCTAACATGACTGGGAAGAAACCTAAAGTGTTGAAATCTCTAAAAGATAACAAGGAAACTGCATGGTAGTGTTGAACAAGTCCACATACAATGAGAAGATAGCCAGTCTACTAGAATCAGGGGTTTATGAAATTGTATGTAAGGATCCCACGTCTCAAATTAAGAGGAAGATATGGAAACTTCTTACCAATCACAAACTGTTCTTCCTGCTGCCTTCAAACATAAACTGACTCCTTACCACAGTAAATCACTTCACCTCTAGGAACTTCCAAAGACACAGAAACCTGACATTCACCTTACACCAAACGGCTTTATTAACTCTAGCTGTTATGCCCTAGAAGATTTTCTCCATAAGATCCTGAGCCCCCAATAGGCAATGCAGACTCCTTCGTGAATGAACATTCCATAAAATTAATATAGGATATCAGCTATGAAAATGAAGACTAAATTTTAAGTTCTGATGCTGTCAGTATATTCACCAATGTAGCAGTGGAAAAAGTCTTACAGGTCATTAGAAATAGACTCAGTATGGATCCTTCTTTCCCTGAACATTCACCTTTACAAGCTGAAGATGTAATGGAATTACTGGACTTCTGTTTAACAACTATATACTACCAGGCTGAGGACAAATTATATCAGCAAAAAGGGGGGTATGGCAATGGGAAACTCACTATCTTTGGTGGTCAGTAATATATTTATGGAACATTTTGAGGAAGTAGCATTGGATACAGCAGACCACAAACACACGAAATGGCTCAGATACATCAACAGCGCTTTTGTGATGTGCCCACATGGACCAGCAACCTCCCCACCTAAGAAGAAGGGGTGGGGGAAGGGAGAGCGAGAGAGAGAGAGACAAATTAGATATGTATGTTGTAAAACTCACTGCAGCTCGTTTAGCAAACTCCAGATGCAGGATGTCTATTTTCTCAAGAATCCTCTCTGCCTCATCCAAAGCCTGACGTCTGCGCTGTGTCAGGTTACCTAGCCTGTCCCACTGGTCACAAATCCTCTGGCAACGAGAATTCACAGAAGCACTGTCATGGTATTCCAGAGTGCTGCGAAGAATGAATAACTTGTTAAGAGAAGAAAACTACAGTGGAATGGTGTAAACAAAATTGGAGTTCACTGGATGTTAGTGCTTGGAGTATCAAGGCCTGAGTGTCATAATAAAGCAAAATAACAGGTAATGTTTTGTGGGATGCACTAATGAAAATATGATGTGGAAGAAATATGACACTGAAAACTAAAATAATTAAGAAAACGATAAAACATAAAAAGTACAAATTTAGGGAGTTGGTATAGTGCATGGCTATGAGCTGGACCACAAGAGGGATGAGGGCTAAAGTCCTGGTAGGGGCATGATTTTCTCTTCTCCGCAGCACCCAGAATGGTTCTGAGGCCCATCCAGCCTCGAATCCAATGGGTACCAGCAGCTCTTAACCCAGGGGTAAAACAGCCGGGGCATGAAACTGACCACTCGCCTCCAACTAGTACCGAGGTGAAGAAAACGTGGATCTATACATCCATCACCCATACACCTTCATGAAGTAGTGCATAATTAGTTAAGCATAGGGGCAACCTTATCTCACCTAGTTTCTATAAAATAAAAAGCTACAAGCATGGTCAGTAAAATAAACCTGGATGACTGATTTGGAATCTTGATTCACTGTCAAAATGGGATAAAACTTTCTACTTCCTAGAGGTTTCTGACAACTATGGTACGTCAGGAATGCCACTAAGGAAGAGGTGGCATGTATCCAAATATTGCAATGCTTAGGAATTGGTTTACATGCTGCTGTTTCCTCTTCATCATCAGTATCTGTAGTCTTGTCCTCAACTTCCTGAACTGCACAAGGAAGAAGATGGTCATCAGCCACTAGATGTTCTTCAAAAGTGAATCACAGTTTCATTTTCTCCCAAATATTTTCCAAGATGGATTTACTCTTGAATGGTCATCATCTTCATTGTGATGTTCTGATGTGTCACAAGATCTGTATTTGAAAGACCTGATTATCCTTGGTCTGTTGACTGCAGACTGTCATATTGGATATTTAATCATGAATTACACTTTTGGATTCCCCACTCACGGTTCTGTAGCTAAACCCGGCACATTTTCTGAACTGACCACACCATCCACCTGAAGTCGTGAATTCAATATTAAGTTTCAAGGCTACTTCTTCAGTCTACTGACCCCACACTGGACCCTGAATTGGTATATTTAATGTATGTTTCTGACTAATCTGTCTAATCACGGAAGAACGTGAAAGAGGACTGGTAAGGCAGAGGGGCACAGTTGTTAGGCAATCCACATAAAAGTGGAAACACTGAATAAGGTATATCATGCTAATCCCCCACAAACCAAAGTAACAAACAAACAAAAGAATTGATGCCATCTAGACCAATAAGGGATATAAAATGGTCTTAAAAATGTATATATAATTCAAACTTAAGTGCAATTTAAAGTCCTAGTGTGTTTAATTGACCAACTAGGTCAACATTCTCTACAAAAAAGAGCAGAATTTACACCTGACTGCAAAACATTTTCAAATAATTTCTTTATTGTGAAAATCAAGATAGAATCTGCTCAGGACTTGTTTTTCTTTTAAGTGAAATATTTAAAATGAATATACAGAGTGCGTCAATGAATCGGGCGATTTGGCAGCAGTGTTTTTCCTGGATTGGTTGGAGTGGGCAGGATGCCACTACTGCCACCAAGCAGCATACTTCAAAGCATTTCAGTTGCAAGAGCTGTGTACTGAAGCACAATGTGCTTTTGCTGTGAAAGCATTTTACAAGAACAGTGACAATTTCATGATCACTCAGTGTGAATTTCGAAGAGAGTTTGGTATTCATCACAATTGTGCTGTTCCATCTGCCCATGCCATCAAGACCTGGGTTCAAAACTTTGAGGCTACTGGTTCTACACTAAAGGAGAAAGGTGGTAGCGCAAAAAGAGCACATACACACGAGAATGTAGCGGCCGTGAGAGAAGCCATTGAACGAAGTCCACGCTGGTCTGTGCGTCACCATGCTACATCACTCGGGCTGTCCAAAGCCAGCGTTCAATGCATTATCACAAAGATCTCAGCTTCTACCCCTATAAAATTCAAATTACTCATGCACTACATGAACACGACTATGAAAACAGAGTTGATTTCTGCCAGACTTTTCTGCAATTAATCAATCAAAACCAAGATGTCGTTAACAACTTACTGATGAGAGATGAAGCTCATTTCCATTTGTCGGGGTTTCTTAGCAAAATTTCCACTATTGGTCAGCCACAAACCCCAAAGAAATTTACAGTATGAGAGACCACTTCACAGTTCCAAAGTCACAATATGGTGCACGATATCTTCATTTGGAATTATTGGCCCATACGTCTTTGAAGATGAGTGGGAAAGGGCTGTAAGTGTGACTGGACCATGTTACGTTCATATGTTAGAGAGCTTCTTAGCTCCTGCACTTTCTCGTCTTCCATTCAAGGAATAAATGTTTTTCCAGCACACCGCACGAGCTTCCATGGCAGTCGTGAATAACCTGTTTCCTAACCATGTTATCTCCAGATATGGAGACACCATTTGGCCAGCCAGGTCACCTGATCTTTCCACATGTGATTTTTTTCTCTGGGACTATCTGAAATCCCAAGTTTTCAAAGCTCCAGCACCCCACACAGTTCAGAAGTTGAAACATCAAATTCGCAAAGAAGAGAGTTACCGAATGCCTACAGCGGAATGGTGGTCATCTGCCGAATGTTATTTTTGGTGAGTTAATTGAGAAAAATCAACTGATTTTATGTTTACACTGTATTCATGTATGTAAAACCAAATAAATGCAACAGTTTACCATTCATAAAGTTTTCAAAATCGCCTGAATAATTGACGCAACCTGTATAATCAAAATGTTACACTTTCCTGTTGATATCTGATATTTGGAATTTAAACCATAGTTCATTAGGCTAATCTGGTATAGGTCTGTTATCATGTCAGTATAACCTGTGCTTTACATGAAACTTAAAAACATACTGTATCATCAGCTTTACCAAAGTGGTTATTCATACAAAATGTGGTACACAGCATAAAATACACATCTAATTCAGGCACACGACTTCTATTTGAAACAATTTTTCGTATTATGAATATTCATGTAAATACAAGGAAAAATATTTCTGACTCTTTGCAGTAGTAGAAAATCTGTAGCCATTAGATTTTTATTTGCAATACACAACTCAAGGAAAATAAGATATGTACAAATAAAAAAAATCACTTTTAGGAAATCGTTATCAATATCCTATTTTCATGATTACTACAATAGGTAACATAAAAAATGCACTTACTTCAGTTCCTGAGCAATAGCTGCAATTTGTTCTACACGATCCTGATGTGCAGCTAGGTCAGACTCGAATGCTTCATGCTTTTTCTTCAGAGCTTTCAGCTCATTCAACTTGCACTGCCGGAAGTCCTGGCTCTGCAACATCTCCTCTTTGCCTCGCGTCCAGTCTTCATGGATGTCAGCCTTGTGCTTGAACTTCTGAGCAAGATGTTCCAGACGTTCCAACCTCATCATTTCAGACAAAAGCCATTCTTCAAATGACTTCTCTGAAAGCTCCAGCCCTTTCCAAGCATTGGCTATGTCCTGTGAGAAATACAAATAGTATTTAATTTTTTGTAGAATTTACAAATAGTGTTTCTCAATTTAAGCTTTCTCTCGCTTTATTCTTTAATTTTGTTGTCAACAAGAAAGGAACTTTAAATAAATAGGCATTTCTAAAAATTAATTTGATTATAAGTGTTTATTCCTGAAGGCATGGGCGAACAAACCTAGGCTTATAGCAGAATTTGTTGGGCCCAAATCTCCAATGAAGACAAATGCAGAGGAGCTGGTATTCTGATGATAATTTCATTAACTATATGGATTGATAACAGAATGTACACTACTCTTTCAAACATACTAACAATGAAAGATATGTATAACTGTTATTGTTTGGGGAGAGGGGACAATTGTTTCCAAGGCACGCTTACATTTTACGGAAACATATCTGGAAAAAGACCTCAAAACTTCATCAAATAAAAATAAAATCTGTGGGAAAATAATCTGAATGTAAAGCTTCACAACAATAATTGTTTAGTCTAGAAACAATCATTACACCTACTTTCTTATATACATTTTTCATTCACAATTATAATCCTAATAACTGGTTAAAATCCGTACACCTTAGCACAAAATAGCACTTCTAAATTTAATTCTGAGTCGTTCTGGTCTAAAAGTGTTGCCAATATACAAACATAAATGTCCTAGCATCACAAATGTAACACTTCACACCTCTTTAACTTTGGTACGTACTGGATATGATAATCTGAAGTGGCAATAAGTACTTGTATTGTCAATAATTCAAACACTCACTGAGACCATCTTCCCTTCGGTGGGCATGTAGGCTGGTCGATTAGACAGACGTAACTTTGTTTGCAGGGTGTTGAAGTTTGTTTCCAATTTTGCTTTTTGTTCCACACGGGGAGGCTTGTGCTTGCGCCGGTAAGTACGGTACTCTTCAAGTTTCTTCTGCACACCAGCCAACGAGTTGTCTGTCTGGCGGCTGTTCAGCCACGGCATTGTGCGCCGGATCCACTCCAACAACTGTGAATGCACCACAAGTATTATTCTCCTTTGTTGTCACTTTGCAGCAAAGTATTTCTAATCCATATGATGGGATAAAATATAATTATTTTACATACATCACTAGCCAACCGCTCATATTCCTCCATAAGGCGTTCATTCTCCTGGTTGACTTTCAAAACCTTGCAGATTCTATTAGCAGCAGTCTCTGCCTACAAAATAAATGACATACATTAGTCACAAATATCAACTGAACTCATACGAAGCTCTCAGGATATACACAGAAGGAAATAGACTAGACTGTACCAGGTCTAATTAAACAGATCACATGGTACAGTAATTTTAGGATACTGAAATCTAGAATACTAGGAGGAACCAGGCATATGCCAATGAGCACAGGCACAATTTTTGCAGTGAAAACTCTAGGAAAACAACAAATGAGAAGCGCTGAATCTTGGAGTCCATAAGGAACTGTTTCAGTAGACTAAAAAAAAAAAATAAGAGGGCTATTTGGAATGTAACCTCTGGTGAGCTGTTAACAAAACAAGCAATGAAAATGATTATATCTAAACAATACATACATACTTATGCTACTTCTCAATGTAGCCACTGCCAGAATTGAGGCCTCTGTTGTATAGTGGAACAAGTTTTTGCATGCCTGTGTCAAAGAAGTCTGTCACCTGTGAGGTCAGCCATGTTTTGACACCTTCCATCAACTCTCCATTATTGTTGAAATGCTGTCATCCAAAGCAGTTATTCAGATAGGTAAACATGTGGTAGTCACACAGAGCAAGATCAGAGTTGTAAGGAGTGTGGTAAAATAACTCACAGTTGACATGGAATACATGTTCAACATTATTGTGGCCCCTTGTTGCATGAATTCTGCCATTAGCACTTCTTTTCTGTCCTGTCACACAAAACAACTGCCAACAGCTTTCTGGCAGACAAAACTTGTTTAAACTCTTTCAGCTTGTTCGGTGAATGTGTGCATCCACTGTTTTGACTGCCCTTTGGTTTCAACATTCACAAATAAAACCCAGACTTCATCACCTGTTACTCAAAAGATGTGATTAAGAAATTCATCATAATCTTTGTGGTACAGTTCTAAAAAATTCGAAGCTGAAGCTATTCTTTGTGTTTTGTGCACATCTGTGAGCATTTCTGAAACCCATCTTGCACAACATTTGTGACAGCCCAGCCTACCTGTGATAATTTTGTAGAGAAGAGAGAGTGAAACCTGTCGAATCCACAATAAAGTTCTGAAATTGTGTAGCAGCATCTTTCAGTCTGAAGATCATCACTCACTACACATGGCAGACCACTTCACCCTTTATCATGTACATTTGTTTGCCAATCTCTGAACATTCTACACCACTGTCTTAAGAGTTCCTTCACTCTCTATATTATGTCCATAAACTGTGCATAATTCACTATGGATTTTTGCAGCATTCACGGTTCTTTGCACAAAGAAAGCGGATAACACTGCAAATTATGCAACTGACAGGATTACCAATTGCAGGACACATCATAACTCACTCTGTAGAGACAAGAACAAACAATATGTGATGGGTTACAAGGCAATGAGTTGGCAGCACCATAGCTCAAGTGGTTACTCACTGGCTTCCCACCGTGGCGGCCCGGATTCGATCCCGGGTCTGGTCAAGTGGGATTTGTGGTGGACAAAGTGGCGCTGGGGCAGGTTTTCTCCAAGTACTTCGGATCCCTTGCCAATCTTCATTCCACCTATTGCTCCACAATCACCCTCGCCTATCATCTGGGGCTGGTACAATAGGCCAGAAGTGGCCGCAGTACAAGGGACTTAGTCCCACCCCACTAGCAATAAAAAAAAAGCAATGAGTCATGTGACGCTACCTCACATGTGCGAGCTCTTCCCAGCTCCTACATTAGCTGCCTAGGTTACTTTCCAAACAGACCTCAGATATATAATAGAGGTTTATCAGTTTCAAATAGAAAAATTAAACTTTTAACATTGACTGCATTACAGAGGGTCCAAGGAGGAAAGGTCAATATTTGGGGATTGGTCATTCTAAGCAAAAATGTGTATATGTACAGATGTGTCCTCTTCTGAACATTTTCCAAGAGAGAGATACTTCATTGTACAGTTTCAAAACTCTTGATAAAAAAGAAATATTACATACTATTTCTAATACAGGTATTTATTGATCAAGTGACAAAGTTGGTACAGTTTACCTAGTATAATACATTTTCGAAAATTTCACTGATAACATCAATGCACTTTGCAGCTCATGTGAAGACATGGCATGTTGCTTGTCTGTACAGTGAAATAGCTCTATCTTGGAACAGGAAACATGCATATACACATTTTTTTGTTCAGAATGACTGATATTGTGACCTCCCAGAATGCTGACCTTTCCATCCTAGGATACTCTGTATACACAAAAAGCATACTGAACAGTTCCTCTGTTGTTATTATTATTATTATTATTATTATTATTTAACTGCAAATGGGTTTTCAGGTGGCAGTGGTACTACAATAAGACAACAGACAAATAACACACACACACACAAACAGCCACACAAAAATGACTTTTTCAAATTGGGAGCTTTTTGCCAAGAAGATAGATTATTTATTGCTCAACAATATTTTCCCATTAAATCACATCTGTGAGATGTCTTTTTTAACTTTCATCAAAGTTCTTTGCATTAAGAGTTCACATTAATGAACATGCTTATTAATGCAAAAAGCACGTCATGACAGGATTATTTGCACATGGAAGGAAAGTTAACAAACAGAAAGGTTTTACTCTTTGAAGATCAAGCTGCTAATGAACCTTAATTATTTGCTTCAGTGACCGATTAAGTAAGTTTTAAGACACCTAATAAAGTGTCTATTGAAGATCATAAGTAAAGATAACATTATTAAAAACTCCACAAATATTTCTATACAATTAAGTTTCTTGACTTAAGGAAACAAATTTATCAGTCAAAGTTATGTGAAGAAATTCCACAACATTCTTTTACCGCTGTTCTTAAATGTGTAAGACCTTTACCAAAAGCTCCTGAAATTCAGCTGTTCAAAAACAATTCACAATTACCTGTCAAACTTCCCAATTATTGAAAAACAATAGTTAACTGGAAAATCACAAAACTAACTAATTCACTTGGCAATTAACTGTGTAATATTCTTGTTTCTAAGTACGAAGTTTAGTTTTCCCACGCAGCTAATCCCCCCTCCCCTCCCCACATCTATGAAGTACATTTCATACAATCTCTTCAGAAAGCATGTCCTCTACATTCTCTGTACCTTCTGTGCGCCTGAGAAGCAGTGGTAATATGATGAGACGTAGGTCATCACAGCGCGTTCATCCGGCATCGCAGTGTTTACCAGGTCTGCAGCATGCGAAGAAGCAGTAAACATCACACACCATGTTACAGTTAGGTCAGGAGCAAATGTTAGACAAAGGTATAGTTGCTTGAGTGGCTATATAGTCCGCCATGAAAACACACATGGAAATGGGGAGAAACGCTCTGCACATTCTTAATCTTGCCATTAAATGGAGATGAGTGGCCAGCTTCACACTCCAGCCATTTTACCCCCTCAGGGGAAAGACCCTGCCCCCAGTAGTAATTTTACAGGAAGTTAAGTGGACAGATGTAAATACCAATCTAGACGCAATGGCAAAGTGAAGAATCCCTGCCTCTCCTGGGAATCGAAATCTAGCTATCCAGTCCACAGCTAGTTACTCCACACATTTTAACTCTTGTACTAGATGGAGGTGAGTTGTCAGCTTCACACTGCAATCATTTCATTCTTGGGGAAAGAGCCTTCAGCAGCCACTCCATGAGAATTTGGATGGGCTTCAGATCTGGTCTGGATGCAGAGACCAAGAGAAAAATTCTTGCCTTGCCAGGGTTCAACCCGTGTCATCCAGGTCACAGCCAGTCACTTTACTGACTCATTAATCCTAAATGTGAACAATGTTACATTACAGTCAAGTAAGGAGCTGCCACACACTACCTTCAATGAAAGACCACCTGAAAGTAAAATTCTGTTAGGTTGCATGAGCACCTGTTAACATCTACACCACAAAGTTCATGCTTTACTTGCCAGATCATTCATTAAAACAATACAGAACACGAATCAGTAAGTTGGGCTTTCACTCCATGCCACTAACTGTAGGGTTATATATGAAGCACAAAGCCATTACTGCATCTCCAACCGATTACCTGCTGAGCACCCTGGAAGGCATGATAGTAGCAAGACACATAGGTCATGATGGCACGCTCATCCGGCTTGGGCGTGTTGATCAGATCTGAAATATGCCCAACCTATCACATGTCATAAACTGCCTTTATGAACTAACAGTTGTATTAAGCGATAGAATACAGAGACATGAACCAACAATCTCATTAAGCATACTCCAACGTTTAATAAGCCTACCATCAGGATCCAACATTCGAGGGATGTCAAGGTACTTCTCAGCCACATCAAATGCGGTGTTCAAATTTTCAAGTGGATTGTCCTTGCTGAGCTTGTTATAATCTATCAGGTCTGGGCGATGGCGATGGATGAGAGCGCAGAAAGCCAGACCATCCTTGAAGCTGCACAACAAAAAATGTGTTAGATTCAAATCAAGAAATTTGGCACAATTCGTGAACAAAGGCACTGTAACATAATCTCGCATATTATATCATACTGTAAAGAAACGGAAATAAATTCAGATCAAGCACAGCAAATAAATTCATGTTTAAGGTGCTGTAAAATGTGAATTAAAATATTTCTAGTGAATCTTCTGCAACATGACATGTTTATTCAAATGCATAATGTAATATTACTAAATAATAATATACTTGCAAGGCTGAGAAGGAAATAGGCTATCATTAAGATGGATCTCAGGGGAATGGGTTGGAAGATAAGCAGTGTATGGAACTGGTTCAAGATCATGTCCAGTGGCAGGCTTTGGTAACACTGATGTTGGACCTTCAGGTTCTGCTACCACACTGTTTTGAGTTGTTTAATTTTTCAAATCCTGTATATCAATACAATTAAACTGTAAAAAATATTATCACAATCACATACATAATCCACATTTCTTACTGTCAAATAAATGGCTTGTTCCCCCCAAACATTAATTTCTTTGATGAACTTGTGGATTGTATCATCTATGAAAATTCAGTGCCAACTCTCAACAAAACATCATAACAAATTATTTTTATTCAAATATGAGTCTGGTTCAAGACTGACCTGAGTTTTACTTTTAAAAAGAGAGAGCCCGAACTGGCACATTCTCACTTCTTTTCAAGATTTCCTATCATCCTGGTAAGTTTCATTCTAACTACATGTACAGGTGAGGGTACCAAGCCTGTTCATCATTAGTTTGAAATTTTTGTCCCCCTAGCTGCAATTTCACTGGTTCAAACATATGAAAATCACTGGGGGTTAAGAAGGGGCAGTTCATGATTTTCTAGTTCACTGTTGTCAATGTCAATTTTGGCAAATTTGCTGTTATGTGGACAAATGCTGTCAAGTAGTAGGAAGATTCTGACAGTTGCCCAGGTCTTTACTTCCAAATGACGTGGAGCACATCACTGTGAATCACGTTACTATAATACTGTGCAACAATTGTTACACTATGAGAAAGAAAACCAGCATGAATCACTCCTGAATCCCACACCACACTTGCCACAATCTTGGCCGCTGACAGCTGTGTCTTGAATTTTCTAGTAATGGCGATCCCTTGTGATGTCATTCCACGCTGGACAGTTTTGAGTTTGGAGTGAAGTAGTGCACACATGTTTTGTCATTCCAGAAATGTGTTTCCCTCTGACACAAACTGGTGCAGATGTTCAGCAGACATAGCAACCTGCTTTGCTTTTTGGTCAAATGTTAACATCCTTGGAACCCCACTGGGAATGTACTTTCTTGAACAGCAAGTGGCCATGAGAAAGTGTTTTGATGCACCACCCACGCACTCTCTCTCTCTCTTTTTCTCTGCAATTGGCCTGTTTCCCAAAAACAGCCCTTTGAAGTGCCTAATGTTCACACTGATTACGCTGTCTCTTCATCATGCTGTGCATTTAACTTCCAAAGAATTTCCTCTGGTTTCACTTTCTCTTTCACAAAGAATATTTTGACATAGCACTGTTCTACACTAAGAATGACAAGGCCTGATTGTAATGCACAGATGTGGGATGCATGGTCACCAGCCAGGTAGCAAGTGCAGTACTGCAACCAGCTGTCCATAAAAGAGTTTCACTTCTCTGATGGATGGGCACCTCTTATGGGGGGGGGGGGATGAAAGTCCAGGTTAACTGTGAACCACCATTGAAAATTTATATACCGCACAGCAGATGTAACTGTGCCTTTAAAAGGCATGAAACATGCTTTCACTTCAACATTAAAATTCTAAAACATAAAAAAAAAGTTCATGATGCAAGTTTTCGAGCAGTATTGGTAACATAACTAACAGAACTCAGTCAATAACTTCCATTTTTATGTAACAATGGTAACAACGCTAGATGCCTAGAGACACATGATTCTTCACATATTTCACAAATTTATGAATGTAACAAACAGTTTATAGTGGGGCAGGCTGTATGCTCTTCAGAAGACGTATTCACCCTCTAAACATACCTGAGATGGAAGTTCTGCACATTGACATTCTTGTACGGTGCTGTCTTGCGTTGGCACCAAAGCAACAGCCCTTCCTTTGCAGTCATTTCCTCAACAGAGATGTCCTGGATGGCAAACCTTAAAATGATGGTCCAAATCATACCCAGAGTCATCTTCAGGTTTCCATCGACAATTTCTGCAACATAATATTCATAAAACCTGATTTCAACTATATTCATCCCTGAGACCACCATATGAATAACGTTATTTACAGTGCCAAGAAGGAAAAAGCAAGTCTTTCCTGTCACCATTTCCCAAGGACAATACCCATGTATATGATCCCTTGGTTACAGGAAGGATATGTCCTGTGAAACAGGTTACAACGATGTAAACTCACTTCAGGTGAATTCAATTTGACAATATAAATTCCATGGAGAAGATTTTTTCTTGTGAACTTGATGGTCCCTAAGCTCATCAAGATATTCCATACCTTTCATGAAACACAGGTTTATTACTAAATTCACAAGAACCCTCCACTTCCTGTCTTGAGCCAAATCAACCCAGTCCACATAATGGCATATTATTTTTAAGGTCCATTTTAATGGTATCATATCATGTATGCTTCAGTCTATCTAACAAGTCTCTAACATCTATGTTTACTGGAAGAAGTATACATTTTTACTACAGAACATAAAAAGCTGTTCATTTCTCTAAATGTACAGAGCGGCCATAATTCACTGACCACATGACTAACACAACACACGTGATGCAAAGAATCTGCTGTGTCTGAAAGAACCACTCAGTTTCACGAAATTTACAGTGTAACTGGCATTATTCAATGAACACAAAAATCTTAAATGCAAAATGGGGTTTGCCAAACCAGAAAGCTAGGTGTGGGCTGTTGTAGTGGGACCTGAAATCTGAGATCACAGTGCAACGATGTTATCACCTGAAACATGGAGAAAATCCATAAAGAGGTCAAGAAGAGTGAAGCTATACCTCCACTCCCCTGTATGTCTTCCTGGAATAGTGGTTAATTAATTAAGCACAATGTAAACTTTACATTTACCTTACTGGTTGGAACAGTTTAAGGATACAGGCAGTGTCTTGTATATGCAGGGCATAATCAGGCCTTTCGCAGATGACGACAAAGTCAACATTGCACATGAGACTTTTCAGTGCAGCAAGTAGAAATTAATCTGTCATGCTAACAAAGAACTTCAAATTCCCCAGGCTACTCCAAGTCAAGAAGGATGAGAGGGGCAGGGTATGTGGGAGAAGTGGAATGCATGTACGATTTTGGTCGGAAAGCCAGAAGGAAAGAGATCAATAGGAAGACCTAGGTGTAGGTGGGAGGATAAAATTAATATGATTCTCAAAGAGATAGGATGTGGTGGTGGGGGCTGAAATGGTCTGGCTCAGGCCAGAATTGGGGAACCTGGTTCCATAAAATGTTGGAAAATTTTGAGTAGCTGCGCAACTTGGGGATTCTTAAGAAGGGCTCAGGTCCATGGGGTTAGTTACTACAAGGAATATTCTCCACCATCATTTAAACTTGCATGCATGCACTGGAACTGGATGATCAACCATATTGGAAATAATATATTCTGTAATAGACTTGAAAGGATTCCGACGATGGTGTATGCTGTACAGAACTATTAGGCTTATGATTTTTGTCTGGTATATCGAAGACAAAAACTACAACGTTTCGGAGACTGGATCTGTCTCTGTCCTCAGTTGGACGAAACGTTGTGGTTTTTGTCTCCTATATACCAGACGATGGATAGAATCCAAATAAGCCTGATAGTTCTGTACATGTATTCTGTAGTTACTCAGACTGACGGACAATGACATTGGCTTCCTGGGCACCTTTCTCAGTAATGAGTCAGCTGTCGTCATGGTTCACTTGGTGTGACAAATACACACAATAGCAAAATTTGAGCTTCTGAGAATCCACATGTTCTTTCAGGGTACAAACACAGCATCACCAAATTAGATGTGTTATGTGCCCTTCTTCACTACTGTGTGCACAGTAAAATTCATGAAACTCTAGCAGTTGTATTAAACACAGCAAATTGTTTCCTGAGACATCTAGTCCTTTGTGTTTTATGTTTGTTTTCTAAAGTGGAGAACAGATTACGGTTACCCTGCATTTAACCTATCAAAGAAAGTGAACCACAACCTGGACTGTCCACATTTTGAAGGGCAGTAGGAAAGAGGAAACACATTCACAAATCCAGATTTCAGACCTTGAACGCACAACTGTGTCAATCAGACATTATTTATTACTTGCCAAATCATACATCTGAATCATGTATGAACATGCACGTTAGAAATTTTCGGTGATGATTTCTGCAACGAAAATCTAAAAACAAACATTTAACCTTTACTCAAGTTCAGTGGATCATTTTACAATGCTGTAATTTTTTTAATGCTGGTGGGGTGGGACTAAGTCCCTCGTACTGTGGGCACTTGTGGCGTATTGTACCAGCCCCAGATGATAGGTGAGGGCGATTGTGGAGCAATTGGTGGAATGAAGACTGGCATAGGAAACTGAAGTACGCGGAGAAAACCTGCCCCAGCGCCATTTTGTCCACCTCAAATCCCACTTGACCAGACCCGGGATCAAACCCGGGCAGCCGTGATGGGAAGCCAGCGACTAACTGCTTGAGCTATGGCATGGCCTTACGATGCTGTAACCAGACTATATAGTATCAAATGGTTGGATGACAGATGAAGTCGTTACATTTTAATTCTAATACTGAATTAGGAGACTATAATAAAATCATAAGTAATTGTCCGTGCGCTTCAACACCATGCCATGAAGACATATGAGATCTACTAAATCTTAACCTTGGCACTAGGTGGAGGTGACTGGTCACATTCATGTTCTAGGCGCCAACCCCCAAGAAACAGCCCCTGGTACCCAACTGATAGAAGGCTAGGTGGGCATCAAGCCATCTGGATGTAGGGGTGAGAAAAATCCCTTCCCCTTGCTGGAAACTGTATAAGTCATCCAGCCCATCAACAGCCACCATGTAAGATTTGAGGCTTTCACGGCGGTGACTATGAAGAAAGCAGTCTTCTGGGATTTGGCACCACTTAAACACGGTGCCAAATCCCAGAAGACTGCTTTCTTAACAGCCACCATACTCACTGAGCTATCCCACAAAATCATAATTTGTCAGAATATCACAAACATAATTCAGCTTTGTAAATGACATTTACACAAACCTTCAGCACCAATGGACACCAGTTTGACACCCTTGCTAGCAATGAAGTCAAGAGCCTTGTTAACATTTGCAATCTTGTGAAATCGCATCTTTCCACGATCTGGCTTGGGCAATGTCTCCCCAGAGATAACCTCCAGAAGCAGCATCAACTTAAGTCCATTGCGGAAATCTTCATCTATATTCTCGATGGCTGTGCCTGCCTTTCGGAGGTGTGAGTTGCACCACGCCGTGAAAGTCTGGAAGACAATTGAAACACATTGCATTAATGATGATAGTATAAAAGTAAACATGAATGTCTACAACAGCCCAATTTTAGTGCTGATTTATATAACCAATATGGATCCACCTGTATCTGAAACAATTTTAATTTATAAATATGAATGTATGTAAAAAAATAAATGTAACTTATCACTTACTTACTCACGGAGCTGAGCCCTTCTGGAGGAGCTGCCAATTCTGCAGCTACTCAAGAATTTCCCAGCAATTATTGTGTTCACAAGAGCCCTCCCTGGTCCCCATCCCAAGCCAGATCAATCCACTCAATACCATTCCATCCTATCTCTGTAAGATCCATTTTAATATTGTTCACCCACCTACACCTTGGTCTTCACAGTGGTCTCTTTCCTTCTGGCTTTCCCACCAATATCCTACACGCATTCGTCTCCCCCATTCGTGCTACATGCCCTGCCCACCTCATCTTCCTTGACTTGATCATTCTAATTATACTTGGAGAAGAGTACAAGCTATGAAGCTCCTCATTATGCAGTTTTCTCCAACCTCCTGTTACTTCATCTCTCTTCGGTCCAAATATTCTCCTCAATCTACATGCTTTTCAATGCAATTGGAACAGACTACAGATTTCTTGATTACAACAGAATAAAATGTTTTCACTTGGGCCTCAAGCCATTCCTTGCACCACTTCCATGACTGATGCTCTTTCAGATTCATTTTAATCCATGCTAATTTTCTGCTGTCCTGGATATGCTGAGAGAACTGCCCCTTAACCTCAACATTTTACAACTGATGGGTCCTCACAACATGCATCATAGACATTTCTCCACCATGCTTCGAATCTTTCCAACCACTTTTGAACTCTCTGTTGCCTCATACTGCATCACCATATTGAACTGTCATTCTGTAAATTTTACTAGTATTTACACACTCCAACCCGATAAACCGGATCACAGATAATTCTTCTATGGTAAAATCAGTCAAGAGCAGCCACGGTACATATTTCATGGTATTATCATTACAACCAGAAGCAATTAGGAGTAAATGAAGGAATAAGTACATGGTTGGTATCTGCTTTTTTTTCAGTGCCGAGGAAATATCTCCTAATGTAAAATAAAACTGTGTTTACTTACTATTTGATTTTACTTCCTACTACCATTTCTTTACTTGCAAAAGCATGCCAATTGTCCCAATATTTGGCTAAATGAATAGATACCAATATCATCCTCCAAGTGATGCCTAGATCTTCGTATTACTTCTGGCTTTCCAACAAAACCTATTTCTCCAAGCATGTTATGTGTCCTGCCCACATAATTCTCCTTGATTTAATCAACCAAAAAATAATACTTTATGAAGAGTACTATTTGATTTTACTTCCTATTACCATTCTTTTACTTGGCACCTATAAATACTGAAGTGCTAATTAATGTCAACCAATGTTCATTCCACACCTCTTTCAACAGACAAGACGTTATTTAACCCTTCAAAAGACCCAATTTCTTCTAAATAATGCATAAAATATTCAGTTTGTACCTCACTGGAAACACATCACCTCTCCGCTACAAAGGCCAGCAAGTTAGTACTGGTTTATGGAAGAACTGCCCTTTATTGTGAGAACCATATGGAACACACAATACACTCTGTGGGCAGAATGTAGAGTTTTAGTGTGTTAAAACAGGTGGTACTTGCAGTAACCACTGGGCTTTAAAGGGTTAAGTCACAACTGTCTCATCCATTTCTCTCAATCTACAAATCTTTGTGTTTACCACAATCCAGATCATCTGGATATCATGACCATCTTTTCTTATCTCTTTTTTTATATTCCAGGAAGCTCCCTCTCAGACCAATGCCTTCTCACCACACCCAACCTGGGAACTAACACAGCCCGTCCACTTTACACCAGATACTAGTAGTACTACTGTCACACTACAGGTACCAGGCCAGCTTCTTGTACTGGATAATCTTGTATCCGAAAGATCACAAACATCACACTGAGGGGGGGGGATTCTTTTTATAATGTGTGTTTAATAAGAAAGAATGTTTCTGTTGCATTTCTTACTAATCAGCGTAATTCATCACAAGTTGCTAGACAGATACCTATCTAGTCATTCTGATCTTTAGATAAAAAGAAATGACTGCACAACTGATGGCTTCAACAGTTCATGGATGCGGGTGCACTGTAGCCTGCATGATCAAGACATATGACAGAGTATGTAAGAAAATAAAGCCAGAGGAGCTGCACGTACTTCCTTATAGAACAATCAGTCTATATTTGCGCGAAAGAAAATGCACCAACACTTGCAAGGCTGCCACTCTACTTAAACAGTATAATTTATTATAGTAATGAACTATGCATGCATGTAAATAACCCTGACAAGACATATGCAGTTTATTTGGTATTTGCAAGAGTTATCAGCATAAGGTGCAATGAGGGTACTCTTAAATAACAGAAAAGATATGCAATGTCACTTCCTTTCATTTTTTGAACCTAAATCTAGAGATAAGTTTGAATAATTCTGTGCTTGTTTTTCAGTGCGTTAACATGTCAGTTACAAGGCTAAAAAGAGCCATATTCATTGTTTATATTGATTTCAAAGGATAATACACAATATGGAAGAATGAAACATGGAAGTTCTATAAAATTGGCAGTTTGCACAGGAAACTGTGATTATGAGAAAGGTAGAGGTTTCAGCTCCACACATTCATAACTTCGGCATTGGCTAAAGGTGAACTAATTTCACTTTGGACGCCTTTAAAATGGGGGGGGGAAGAGAAAAATTCCGAGCCCTGTCAAGAATCAAACCCGGTCTTGCCAGTAATCGGTCACTAAATTGACAGCTCGCCCGGCTCATACAGAGAAGTTACCGGTAATCTGGCACGCAAAAGCACAACATGGCTATTTGCTTACACTAACCCACTTAATGACGTTAATGACGTAGGTGGTTGTATTACATCACGGGCCATTTCAGGGGGGTACACTGCAACAGTAATCTGTCGCGATCTATAAACTGTGCTCGAGATGGCGGAAGAGGTCAATAGTGTATCTTGAGAAGTATGGAAACGAAAAGAGATGAAGCATTCGCCACCTAAAATTAGGCACAAGGCAGGATACGGCTACACCGAAATAAATCCAACCACACGTCTTGGGCTGAGCTCCCAGACATAGTACCACTTTCGGCGGAGAGTTATCAGAGAACTGAGGTCATCATGGCACTGCTGTACGGGAACTACAGGGCGTGGGCGTGTGAAAACGACAGGCTTAGGTCGCGTCCAACAACGTCTTCCCGGTGTACCCTATTGCGAGATGGACCGATATAATCCTGGGAAGAAACGTCTTTCATATGCGTAAATTTATAGGGTGCGTTGGGGGAACCGTGAATTCATAGATACAGAACCTTGTTACTTCTTGTAAATGTCCACCTACAATATATGAGACAAACTCCGTCTTAAGTGCAACAATTTAATTGTAGTTTCGGCCCTAAATGGCCATCATCCTGATGATGGCCATTTAGGGCCGAAACATGTAGTGTGGAGGAAGGAAAGAAGGAAGAACTACAATTAAATTGAAGAAAGTCGTCTTCTGGGTTTAGGCGCCTAAACCCAGAAGACGACTTTCTTCATAGTCATCGCCGGGAAAACCTCAAAACTTACATACAATTAAATTGTTGCACTTAAGACGGAGTTTGTCTCATATATTATGTGAGTGTAACAGGATGCTTAAATATAATATTGTCCACCTACACTTTCACAACAAATCTTTTTTTCAAAGAAGTACCATTGATGAAGCACATCTGGGGCACACATTCAATCAAGAAAAGAATTTGGTGACGCATATTATCCACGTACTTTTCCATTTGTACAAATTCAGATCAACGAATTCCAAGAAGGAAAGGCTTTCATGAGAAACTAACAGTCGTTTAGACAGCAACGAAATCGCCCACCTCGTATGAAACTTGAATGTGGGCTGTGCTATGGCTCAGGCGGTTAGTCGCCGGCCTCCCACCGCTGTAGCCCGGGTTCGATCCCAGGTCAGGTAACGTGGAATTTGTGCTGAACAAAATGACACCGGGGCAGAGTAAATTCCGGGGATACCCGAGTGCAGAATCGCCTGCCTTACCGCCTCCTACTTATGGCAGTGCTGGAAGGATATGGGATTCGGGTCAAGACATAGGCCAGTGAGAGTCCAATGTGATCACGGTAGGCCTGAAGTATATTCGGGCCCAATAAAAGGTAATTTCTTGACCAACAGAACGAGTATCAGCTTATCGAGAAGGATTTTGCTTCATACAGACGGGTGGATGGTGTGTTCGTTGGTTAGACAAAGCCATCCAGCTATATGGAACTCAGGAGTGATTCGAAAAAGTCGGCTGACATCCAGAAATAGTTTAAAGATTACTCCATTTCTCGGGACATTAAAATACAGTGCAGAGGATGCCACGTTCCTGCCTTGCATGGAGCAAGGAATATACCGAGACTGCATACTTCCGTTTCTCATTGTTTCATTTTGGAGCTCGTCGTGGAGACTCGCTACACTGACGCGCTGCTGCGACACCGAGAAGCGTCTCTTTCACACACAAACGCGCACGCACGCACACTCGAACATGAACGTATGCACGCGAATTCTGAAAAAGTTCACTGTTTCCCCAGCAAGCGTACCTATTATAATAATTATACCTACGAGTATATACGGATATCAATCAAAAAGTTCCCGGAACTCCCCTGCAGACGGAGAACGAGCGATAAGATAGCGCACACACTGTTGTGGTGGGAAGCTCAGCATGTCTGCTCGCAGGTGCAACAGGACTGGACAGGTTTCAGTGTGCAGGGTCGTTACTGTTCCATTTGAATTAGACGTGAATGTTGGTCATTCGGCGCAATGTCGCAGTTCGAACAGAGTGCGAACATCAAGTTCATGTGCAAATTGGGAAAATCTGTTTCAAAGACGGCTATCGGCCCTGCAGCAAGTTTACGGTGATACTGCATTAAAGAAATATGCAGTTTACGA